AGAAGACATTCCGAAAAAGGCTATCATTACGCCTTTTGGGTGTTCTGTATTTCTATGTTTGCCATTTGGCCTCCAGGATGCAGCACAAGCATTCCGACGTTTCATTGATGGAGTATTTTGCGGTCTTGACTTTGTATACGCATACTTAAACGACTGCCTCATTGCCAGTCCAGACAAGGAAACCCACCGCAGACACTTGGATTCGACATTTGAAATGTTAAGCCTGCACGGTGTTACCGATAATATTCAAAAGTGTCGGATAGGCGTTGACTCACTCGACTTCCTGGGTCACACTATTGACTGCAAGGGCATTCGTTCACTGGCTGGTAGAGTCGAAGCCATACTGAACATTTCAAAGCCACAGACAACGAAAAGTCTCCGCACTCTTAATCGCTTGGTAAGTTATTACCGACGGTTTGTTCCCAACTGTGCCTCTCCAATTCAGCCATTGTCAGACCCTCTTCGAGGGAATAACAGGTCTGTCTAACTTGACGCGTCTGTTCGAAATGCTTTCACTGAGGTTATAAAACGGCTATTGCGGATACCACACTTCTGATGTATCAGGATCTAACGGCACCGTTAGGTATCTAGGTTGACGCATCAGACACTGCAATCGGCGCAGTTCTAAAACAGCTAGTTAACAAAGGGTGACAACGACTCACCCTTTTCTCAAGGCGCCTTCAGTGAGCAGGAACGAAGTACAGCAAATTCGGCAGAGAACTTCCGGCTATGTACTGGGCTGCACGTCATTTTTGACATTCAGTGGAGGGTCGTGAATTCATAATTTTCACTGAACACAAAACTCTGACTTAATCTCTGAACCTAACTTCTTGTAAGTATTGACCTAGGGAATCACAACAACTGGATTATGTTTCACAGTTTACATCTTATGTTCGCCATGCATCCGGAGTAAACAACACTGTGGCAGATGGCTTGTCTCGCGTTTGTCCCTCACCCAAATCGACGGCATAGACTTTGTAAAACTGGATGGTCTTCAAAAAGAAGATACCGAGCTTCAACACGAGTTGTCGAAAACAACTCCGCAATTAGCCAAGAAACCTTTAGGTATGGGAAGAGATACTATTCTATGCGACATTTCCACGGGTACTCCTTGCCCTATCGTGCCTAAAAGTTATTGCCGTAACGTCTTCAATACGTTGCATGGCTTAACTCACTCAGGTATTCGAACTACTGTCAAGCTCGTAACTAGTCGGTTTTGTTGGCCTGGCATTATTAAGGAAGTAAGGGAATGGGCACACATCTTGTCAAAAGTGCAAGGTAATGAGACACACCAAAAGCCCACTTGGCGCGTTCCTTCTCCCTGGCGCTCGTTTTGAACAAGTCTATATAGATTTGGTTGGACACCCTCCGGAATCCCATGGATATACTCTTATTTTAACCAGCATCGATCGATTCACACGATAGCCTGAAGCAGTACCCATTTAGGACGTATCTGCTGAAACAGTCGCACGCATCTTTGTAGAAAGATGGATCGCTAACTTTGGATGTGCATCCTCCATAACAACTGATCGAGGGCGGCAATTCGAAAGTGGCTTATTCTTCGCCTAGACTAAAATCATATGTTGCATGCTGTCAATGGAGTTGAAGATTGAACGATCAATTCATGGTTGTTTGCTCAAAATCAACTTCCCCAATTTTCGCGGAGGCATCAATACGACAGTCATCGTCTCATCGGTCGCTGTTCAGAAAGAAGAGTAAAATATCGTCAGAAGTAATATAACGATTTATTATTGTAATATTTGTTTACAGACCTTAGTTCGCTTATTCCTTTTATTTGTTGGTGTAACAATAAACAAATCTCAAGCGGCAGATCGGTGTTTTGGTTTTTCGTCCGTTATAACTAAGCGTTTCTGAGAAATCTTCTAAGAACAGCGTGGGCCCGAGCGTAGCGAGAGCTGGGCATTAACGGTTTATGAGACGTGATTGACACATGCTTTTCGAACAACAGTCTACCATCCTCAAGCTAATGGTATGGCAGAACGTCTACACAGACAGTTGAAAGCTGTTTTATCAGCTGCAAACAATACTCATAGGGCTAAATCCTTTGTGTCAGTTCTCCTGGGGATACGTAGCGCCTAAGAAACCGATGCTGGTTTGTACTACTGCCAAGCTAGTATATGGCACGACACTACGACTGCCTGGTGAGTTTGTCTCTCTCAAGTTCCCTACCAACGGTAGACCACGCTTCATATGTCAGCAGGCTTAGAAACGCAATGCGTTCAGTTAAACCTGCTCCATTTCGTCCACAGTCCACTGATGTCTTTGTTCACCCGTGTTTGAAAACTTCACACGTATTTGTTCGTCGTGACTCTGTGCGTCAACCTCCGGAAACCCTTTACGACGGACCATATAAAGTCATTAAACGTATGGATAAATCTTTTGTCTTAAAAAACAGGCCTCCAAGACACTGTTAGGATCGACCGTCTGAAACCGGTTTACTTGGAAGGTAATCCTATTAACCTGGAGCTGAGCGTACGCAACAATCCACAAGTAATCGTATATCCTTTAGTCGTCGAAAAAATCACTAGCATGGCGAAAGCCACTGAACCTCCCGTTGAGCCCTCGAAGAAAACGCGTTCTGGACGTTACGTAAGATTCCCAGAATATCTTCACACCTATATCACACAACTCAGTGGTGCTATTCACCCAACTCTTTTGTTTGTGGTATTAATAATTTTTTCATTTCAGACACATCAATTTATTTTAAACAGCACCACTAAGCAAAGGTAAATTTTTTTATGACACTACATGTTACATGCACAAAAAATTAGATGTATACTTCCTTCGATGTTCTAAACTTTGCATTATTTACAGTATGGTTGATACACATCATTTTTTTCAAAATGCTGGTTTGGTACATTTTCCTCCGAAAGGTCCTAAGCATTCTTGTTTTCTTTTCCAGGTGTGATGAGGACTCGACAAGAGACAAACGAAGCAGCAGATCCAACGAACAACATCAAGGAAGTGATGTACAGAAACCCGATCAGCATAGGCAGACACAAAAGTAGACACGCCATTGAGCCTCTCGGAAGGCTTTTTTCACCCATAAGGGAACCATCGATTTTTTTCAACTTCAGGCTGGTTCTGTCTTAGGGTGCTCACAGCCCCACTAGGGGGGAGTGTTCTGCAGAGGTAAATACTTCCCCAAAATTATTGACCGTAGCAATCATCACTGAACATTGGATGCTGACTGTTTTAATTTTTTGTAATAGTAGTATTAGTATTAGAGATAACGGAATTACAAGAATTCAACCAAAACACACAGAGGGATGAATTCGGGAAGTTGTAGGTGGTGGAATTATTATTCAATTCATAGAAGAAATATATTAACAAGAAACAGAAAGTACTTAAACAATACAGAGACAGATATTGTCAATCACCACACTGAAATTTAGTGTTTAAGTCGACTTGTTTAGCTGAAGGCTTCCGGTCAAGCATCCTCGCCATTTGGTACTCCGTCGTGTCACCTTCGTGCACGATCACTAGCCAGCTCAGCTTCCGCTTCAGTCCACGATTTGGTCCCGAAATATATCTCGTAGTTTGGACGATCAACTCTGGTCCTTTGCTTTGCCTTTAGTCCACGAGAAGCGAATACTATAAAAGTTGCTGGTATAAGATCTTGCGTTAGTATACTTCGTACAATTCGCGAGCGTAAATACCGTCTGCCTGTAAACATTTTTGTGTGAACACTAATTTCCGAGATATGTTCGGATGGTAGAAAATCATCCTACATGCATTCTAGCTATAGGTGAAGAGGAAATTATTAAAGAATACACACCTAAATTCGTGGAATCTACTACACACACGAGTGGTTTATTCCAGGTTTCTTTCTGATAGGATGGTGAGAATAATACTGAACCCACGAAATTCACTCCCACATAAGCACCCACTGGCCTCCTCCATATTGAGATATTAGTATTCACCAGGATTTCATCTAGATTTGTCACACGTAACTTTTCAGTATATCGGTATGGAATAATCTGAAATTACAACTGTGAAAAAGTAGAAATTTGAGCGGGCGACATAAGTGCATGGCGATTAGATCCTCGCCACTGTACCTGTGATTTCAACTCACAATCACATTGTAGGCAAAATGTGACATGGCCTGCTAGATTCAGTGGTCATGAAGCATAAAATGTTACCTGTGGAAAAAATTTGAAAAATTCTGATTTTTCATTAAATCAGTTACCCTAATTAGAGATTTGCTTATATAAACACAGAAACAGGAATGGTATAATATGAACAAAATGAACGAACTTTGCTTTGGGGAATTCATTTCTTGAGTTTTCTATGATAAAGTATCTCAAAATTGTAATGAAACTACTTAGGAATTTCCGTTAGTTCAGATAGTCCTGTAAGAACAGAAGACAAGGGCTGGGTAACGGATCGTTTATTTAGGAAATCTACAGATATTTACACATTTTCACGTGCATCATTATAGATTATTGTAGACAAACAAACACAGTCTTCTGACTGACGGTTTCTCGCTGAGCGTTAATCTTTCACCTCTTTGTTGCCGTTTATTGAAGTTCAGATTATCTATCTACAAATTGTGTGCGTCGGCGGCATAGCGGCTAGGACACTCGCCGACCATGCACATGGTCCGGGGTTCGATCCCCGGCCGACGCACTCCTTAACCTCGCTAAGCCAGAAATAATCCTGGTAAGGAGGAAAGGTTGCGAATGAGGCCAGCAACCCCATCCTGTAAAATAAACACTGCTGCAGAAACTTCAAGCCGCTAGCTTGTAGCCCTTCACGTTCCCCAGTGGAACGTGAAGGAAAAAAAATCTGCAAATTGTATCCGCCTACGCAGTCTGCTGTGATTGAATGTCATTTTCATGTTTCTTGATATAAAGAAAAAAACAACAAAAAGATATGAGGGCTTCACAGTGTCTCTCAATAGATATATTGCTTATTGGAGATTGAACATGTAGGTCGACACTAATTTATTGAACCTTGTCAATCGCGGTATCCCAAGTGGCGCTTTTCCGAACACAAAGAGACTTGTTGCACTAAATATGACCTGTGCTCTGAACAGTAAATGTTTCGCTGTCCAGCTAAAGCTCACTTTGTTGGATGATAATTTTCAGTTTTACTCCATAACTGTAAGTCTAGTGAATTATCAGTCAAATAACGTCAATTAATCCATCAGGCTAAAACCAAAGCTGGAAAAATACTGAACAGTATAGTTACCCATCTTAAAATAACGCACCCGCAATATTTCGGAATTAAAATTCAAGATAGAACACAAAACTGGGTAAGAATATTTTACGAACTTATTAGATGAGTCTAGTCAGCATTGGCTTCATCTGCAGAAAAGCATTTTGTTGCAAATGAAACTACTTGGTGAGTTTATTTAAAAATCACGTGTTTAATTCTCTCACGATGAGTAGCACATAAGACTTAAGTATGAAATACTTTTAGGGTTTTAGTTGATGTTTTCTGTATCAATGTATATTTCTTTTTACGATTGATTTGTTTGAGAATAGAGGGCTTGTGTTAAACATATTCCATTACGTTTCCGTGCCTGCCTATCCCCATCTTGGTGAAGTGTTTTAAAGGCGCATATGAAACTTATTTACGGAGTCGGTTCTATTAGGTTGTGACCTGCTGACATAACCCGTCCGTGGTTTTTGAACTCTTTTACTGGTTTCTTAGGTATTTTGAAAAAACTGAACAGATCGGTAACACAGACACATCTTTAAGTCCTGATTACTGTGCTGAGATCTATATACAATGGTGTGACATGAGAAAGAGACTCAGTCATTCTTTGTCTAGTATAGTGGTTATACCAATGATCATACCTGTGGCCGTTATCAATGTTTGCCCAGTAACTGTGCGTCGAATCTTAGACAAGGACTGATTGCCTGGTCTAAGTATTAGTGGTTTAGACTTCTCTAAAGCCGGTGTACACTTCAGTACTGACAGTCGGCGGTTCACTTAGCCAGGTTGATGGCAAGCATTTTCTATTTTGCCACCTTAACAGGGTAGTGAGATATGTCTAGAGAAGAATCAACTGACTATCCTCTTTGAGCATTCCTAACAAGCCTCTGTCACCTTCCTATTGAACCGCACAAAAGTTGGTGAGTCTGGGTAGTTGAGTAATATACAAGATAAACGGTAGCAAGCTCAGTACAATCCAGTGCGGCACGCTGCTTCATACTGTCCATTAGGAAAAGATTTCGTCTCAGTCTTGACTGCAGGTAGCAAGGAACTCCTTGACTTATTTTGATAGGCTACTTTAAATTCCAAGGCTTTATAGCTTCTTCAGTAGTCCGAGACGAGGCACTTTACCAGCTCTTTCACAGAAATCTATGAAGACTACGTTGAGTGGCTTCTGGTTATCCATAGCTCCACCTTGGCCTGAGTAGTTTAGTCAGAGGAGAAATTTCCCCAAAGACAAAACTACGTAGTAGATGACAAGCTGCTTTTCTACAACTGGCTTTTAAGAGCGTACCTTGAAAGCTTTCGTAAATATCCTTTTCAGTCTTGATTAATATACTGATAAAACTGATAGATTTTTAGTATGGATGGTATTGTGTAGGTTCTCCTATGTAAATAGAGGTGACCTGTGCATTTTCCTAATAAGTGATCAAGCCCTTGTATGGAAGGCACTTGTTAGGCTGGCTACTCGAACAGCTACCTGGGAAGTCGTCAACGAACAGCGTCGAATCCCTCCCTGAGGTTTCAAAAATTACAGTGGATGATATCGAGTGAACAATCTGTTTTGCAGTATGAGAAGAAACACTGGTGAAATAGTCCTACATTCTCCCTGCTTCGTTATGGACTGAGATGTATCTCTGTCATTCTCCTAAAATTATGGAAACTGCACAATAGAGTCTCTGTCTTGACCTCTGACCACGAGAATTTGTACAGAATCTCTACTTGCGAAATTGATGTTTTCACTCGTTTCACGAAGAGAATGAGTAGTATTACAGGCTGCTACTGAATTCGGCGAAATGGACGTCACTTCGAAACTTAACCTTCAGGCTTACTTTACTTAACTTTTTCACTTTATGAATAATGTAAGACTCATCAAAGATATCATGTTTGCTTGGGTAGGTGTTCGCTGTTCATTGGCAAGTTTTATCCTCTGTTAAAAGTGACATATTATTCACGAAGGTTTCCTTGGGTCTTCTGTATGAGACGATAACTTGCCACTCAGTTTTTCTCAGCCTTTTTCTGGTAGTGACTAGCTTTCATCCTTTAGGGTTATTGGGGTGGTTGTATATACACTAGTAGCCACTCTTGTGGAGGCTTTTGCAGGGCATCCATAATTCTTCGCTCATATCTTTTTCCCAGATGAACGAAGTGCGTAGCTACCATGGGTGCTCCAGTTAATCTTTTCACTAAGCTGTGATTGAACCAGCCTTTTTGTTTAGGTCGCTGAAGTATATGAGACGTTGTTATATTTACTGTTTGAGTTAGAATATTTTGGGTAGTTTTTACCCTTCATTAAGCTTAACTATTATTTCCTAAATAAAATGCTGCTGTGTGTTGCGATAGTGTCCCCATAAACGAGGTACAAAGGATTTTGCAGCGGTTTTCTTTTATCTCAGAGATCAGGTTTCTGCATTCTTTGTAGGATCATCAGTTACAGTTTTCATATTGTATGCGGTCATATACATAGAAATCGTAGATGTGCCTCCAAAAAGATCTGTTTGCCATCATTTATCCGAGAAAATTTTAAACAGCGGTTACTGGCGGGTTTGGACCAGCCAAACAGAATAACCGAAATGCTTAAGTGACATCCAACTGATAAAAGCTTACAAAACTTGTAAAACTTTGTACATAGACTGAAGCGACTGAAGTCAAAGTTTACTCGTAGGTCTTTGGTGAACACAATAAAAACCGAAATTACAAAGTACTATGTAGGGGTTTACTTCTCTTTAGGACGTCTAAATGAAAGATTTCGTGGTGGGAATTGTCAGTCCACTGGAATTTTATCGTATATTATGCAGTGATGTTAGTTGTTTGCTTACATGTAAATTTTATACTCTTAAAAATATAGTTGTTTATGTGCCCTGAGGTCAGCAAACCAAATCAATTGAGCAAAGTGCGCATACATACACTTCTTGGTCTACTTAAGATTGTGCAAAACTTCCCTGAATAAAGCTAAGACATTTTGTGAGATCTACGTATCTGTTAGCTGCCTACCTGAATTCCGAAGGGGCATCCCCTTTATGCATGTGAATCTTAACAGTTGTCAACTTCCAGTTCATATGATTAACATTAGGTTGGAGATGTATTTTATCCCTGGATGGTATAATAAAAAGTTTACATACTTTGGGGGCTATGAGAAATGTGTAAAAGGGAAGGAAAATTCAGTAGGTGGTCGTCTGTAAAGTAAGCTCACAAGGTTGAGGTTCTGACAAATTTACTGGCGTATTTTCTTAAGTTGCTTTTTATATAGCTGAACATAGAGTAACTGCTGACTCATTCAGTTTGCTAAACTTCACATTATAATATGGAAAAGATAGTCGAAAACGAGGGGAAGCGACGTGGAATGAAGTTGTAAAAGGGATGTATAACTGCCGTCCTGATCACTTTGTCTCGTTATATTCTGGAACCTTCGGAATACATATTGTGGTGTTTCGATAACCTTCAACTAAGGAGCCTGATCATCATTCAAACACGATAAATTATATACGCAAATTTTTTTTAGGAAATATGCTGGAGTCCTGTTTTTAAGAGCCAAACTGATAAAATCACCTACTGTTAAGAATTCCCAAAAATATTTATATCATCGTTTAAATTATTAATTGATGTTTATTTTAAAGTTACCTTATTTTATTATTTTTTAAACTTTACAGATAGTCCACCAGTTGTTGAACAATCTGTGAATCCTAATGATATATCAGTGCGTCAAGAGACACAATGCTTTTCAACATCTAAAAATGTTATCCCGATTGAACCACCGCCAACAGTGAATAGTTTAACTGAAAAGCTGATTTCATCCTTTCGCACTTGTGGCTTAAGGACGTGTACTTCAGATAAATCTCATTTCGCCAACTCATCCTATATCCAAGATACAAATAAACCTTTTACTTTAATATATCAAGCTTATTTTGGCATAAAATATTATCCTGCTGATCCAACAATTATTGCAGATGAGCAAACAAGGTATGTCAATTTCTGTGTTAATATTTACCTTTAAACATGTTTTAGTTGTTCAAAGAAATATTGGTATAATTGTCGTTTCTGATTTGACACTAGTAACTAGTGTAATGCGTCTAGTCCTCTAATTGGCGTAGACTGAATTCTATCAGTCATGTTGTAATGTGACCACCATTCTAGCTAGCTCGCCATCATGCCATCTGCAGATACGCCTTGCTGATGAGTGCCAACTAGCACGAAACCTAGGTCCAAGGCTTCCTACCGATTGCCTCCAACCATCTAATTGTCATTTCTATCAGAGAAAGGCATAATTTAATGGGATTGGTTAAGAAATATATTTAGATGATGTGTTCTTAAGGAGCACACCGTTTCTTCTGGATGACAGCCTTGTTAGGCTTCAGAGTACCTGAAGTGTTTGAAATAAGTCTTTTAATTGTAAGATATAAATAGCCATCTCAGGAGTAGTTCAAACGGTATCCTTAAGTTAGGTGGTTACATTATATCAGCGTCCAAATGATCAGACATCCCACTAATAATTAACGGTCAAGTGTATTCTATTGTAATGTTTTCTTTACCATTAGAATTTATAAGTATTCAGATTACTGATTGCCATTACTAACATATTATCAGTGATGTTTGATGAAGCTGTGATGTGCGTGATAAAGAGATCACACGTTTATTATTAGGTGTGAGCGAAACAGGAACAGAAGCACCAATGAACTTGGGAAGAGCAATAGCACCGAAAGGTGAATTTGTTCCTCTATGCCTAATCTACTTCAAACCAATCCTAATGACTCTGTGGTCAAGTTAACTTTAACCTGTCTTTGGCCTAAACCTTACCTAAATATTTCCCATACCTCACCTGAAAAGACTTCATTAGGAATATTTTATTTATGATTATGATGTCATTTACCTAGTTTCACTAACTTGCTGACTGAACTTTTCAGAGACATTGGAAATCTGATTTTTATAAGGTTAGACAAGCCAAAGATTGGGGCTAAATTGGGAATGGGTTAGGAGTAGGTTGAAGTTAAGTAAGAGAAAGATTAGAGGGTTAAATCCTTTAGAGTTAATCTTTAATCTAACTTTAGAGTTAAATCAAGACGAGGATTAGGTAATGAATAGATTATGGTAAGTCAAGGGAAGAATGAGGTTAGGTTTGAGTAAAAGATTCAAATCTGCCTTCTGAAATGGATAGGTCATTTCAAAGTCATTGGTGTGTTCGTCCTCTTGGATAGATATTCTTTGACTTACTCTCTCAGTCTGACCTGTTTAAGAAAATGCTTTTCGTTTGGCAGTGGTCTATGTAGCAAAGAAAACTGATGATTAGATGAGGAAATGAGTGAGGATAAGCGCCGGAATTGATTACTTACAGTGTCTTATCTCAAGATTGCCTTAAGTAAATACAAGTAAATTCAAGGACCATTGGATCGGGTCCCAGTGGCTCAATGGTCTACGAGCTCGCCTTGTATCCAGAAGGTCCTGGGTTCGAATCCCGGTGGGTGCGTACTGCTGAAGAGTCCCAAACTAGGACGAAACAGCTGTCCAGTACTCCCAGGTTTTCCAGTGGTTTTCTAACTGATGTCAGCTCATGATTAAATCCTCCATGCAATTAAGTAAATACCTTTGATTTCATTTTCCTCCTGTTTTAAAGTTTTAACAACTGCTTGTTCTCTCGTGAGCTAATTTGAACCTAGCGTTGTTTGGCATTAACTGATATTGATGTATTGGGTAATGAAATGGAAACCTAAGTCACAATAGGATTCGAGCCACCGACCATTGAATAACCAGCTTGTCTCTATAACATCCGATATACGGAATCCAGTTGACTAAACTGCTCAGCATTTCACTTCGACTATTACATGTTATCGTCATTTTACCTGGTGTGCAGTTAGTCTCCTCCTTCCATTAAACTACTCATCATAATGTGACTAGATCATCGATTAAAGTTGTTTTCTCAATTTTGTAATGCATCATTCGTCAACCCCATGTTATTCTTGTGTTATTGGTAACGCAAGTTGAATAAGGCAATGTAATCTATGCGTCATCAAGTCTACAGTTTCTATACCTGAATATCTTTCAGTCAGTAGGGTGCCACATCTAGTAACCAAAGTGCCGGATTACTTTGACATCGCGGTCTGATTCACAACCATAGTTGTATTTATTATTCTATTGTTTTTTCTTCAAAATTTAGATTAGATAACTTAATTTTAACAGTGATTTGACCTCATTCTATGTATGTATGTATGTATGTTGATATTACAAACGTCTGAGTATTCATAACAGTGGTGTTAATGATAATAATTTATCTTTTTAAGATTTCAGTTATCTTATACCATTATGTCATATGTGATTTGTGTTCACAACCCATTATTCTAGTGATTACAACTCACGTCAATCCATATTGATTGTTATTGTTTGTTTGTTTGTGTGCTTGTCTTTCTATCCGTTTCGGCATATTAAACTTATCAATTAACTGAAATCTCGACAACAGTGTATTTCAATAAGTAACTACACTTGTCTGTGTGCTAATGAGTACAAAAGATTATTTTTTTCTCGTATCATTTGTGATAAATACTTGATGACGTAATACTAAAGGAACCCATCCCGATGAGACTTATTGCAAATATAGGAGAATATATGAGACACAGAGTGCTACAAAGATGTATGCAGTGCAGCACGTTCTAGTCTGTTTTCACACAAGCAAAGTGGAAGGATCATTTTTAAGAAAAAGGTTGTTAAATAAGTTCAAAGGTCAAGTGGTTATAAGTTATAAATGTCACTTAGTCTCACTACCCGACACTTGATAGGAGGAGCTAGATCTGCAATACTGATTCATAAATTATAACATTTTAGTAACAAAACAAATATTATTAAACTGGCAGTTTAATAATACTTTGATAAAGCTATTAGCATTAAATAGCGAAACGTCAGTAAAACAATATCGTTTTGTTTTTCATTCATTGGGAAATACAAAAACCTTTATTATAATGAAAGCGAATATTGTTAATTACTAATTATTAAATTAACTTGGTTTTCAAACCTTAGAATAATTATTTAGTTTGCACTGACGTTTTATTTGCCCAGTGTATATTACTGATCAGATCAATCTTTTCATCAGGTGTTGGTTCTCAGGGATTTGATTGGTTTCAAGTCTTATCATAAACTGACATCATCTAGGGAACCACTAAGCACTAGGGGGCACTAAACAGATGTTTTGTCCTAGTCTGGGACTCCTCATCAGTATCCATCCATCACCCCATCAGGAAATTAATCCAGTACCCTTGGGTTGCAGTATGGTCCCTTTCATCGTTTATCGACTGAGATTGGATCCAGTGCCAGCTAGCCGGTGTGATCTGCGAATGTCTGTCCTTAACCACGACTTAGTGTACACCACCGGTTACTAATTCTTACTAGAATTTCAAGCAGCTTCATTATGGAGTTAGTCACCAGTTAGCATTTTTCAACGGTTCCCTATTTGAAGCTGATTCATGATCAGTCTTGAAATTTTGAAGAACTACTCTAGTACTTGAACGTTTCAGTTATCTTTAAAATCGCAGGGATGAAATAACACTTGTACATAGTATAAAACACTGATAACTACAGTTGAGCTACAGGGTCTCTTGATTAGTGAATATTTTGACTATGGCAGCAATGGATTCAGCAGCATCTGGATTGCTAACCTGGCTGTGTTCCAGCTGAGCTTCAAGTCCCAGCTGCTAACGAGGTCATCACTTCATTGTGGTCATCACAAGTGATAACCAGCTATCGCGTAGATGAGTAATGTACGAGGGTTTACCGTCACGCTAGTGGCTGGGTTTCGTAGTTTATCTAGTTTAGCTCTGTAGTGGTGTTTAATTGGCCGTCAGTTCGAATCTTGGGATCACGCAGATTTTCATCTCACCTGTGATGTGATAACCCAAAGGTACCACATATATTCTCACTATTGATAAAGTGTATCATTTTTGCATGATATCTCTTAAATTCTTTTCCCTGTACTACTCTCAGCGCCTAGCTGAATGATAAACTGCTGTTACCAGTAAGAGTCTAGAAAGTGTAGTAGTCATAATGTCCCCTTTGTATTCATGTTACATAAATCATCAGTGAGGATTATTACAACCCTAACTAGCATTTCAGTTAACCGTTTCTGAAAGTATTGTCCTTTTTTTGGCCTGTAGCATGATCTACTTATGAATCATTTATTGTACTCTAAAGGAATGGTGAGTATTATACTTATCAAACGTAAACAAAACAAGTGGATCAGTGAATAGTCTCTTTTCCGCGAATTCATTCTCTTAGCTGTACAATCGCAAATATATATATGTGTTATTTTGTATGTATGTATGTAAGATTCTGATAGAGAAAGAAAGACCAGATTTGCAGATCTGGTCTTTCTTTCTCTATCAAAATTTATCAAGGGAACCGAATGTATGTAAGATTCATCGACAAAAATATCAAACCGATCGTTCGGAGAAACGAAACTTTAATTGCGCCTAAAAAGAAACTCTACATGAACTTGGATTTCAAGGGAGATTTACCAAGCGTTATTCTCAAGAGAAGGATTACATCATCTCTGAGAAGAACATTCTTTGCAGCAACGCTAAGAATAGTGTTCTTCAATCGCCCGCTGATCTGCAGAAGCCTCGAGGACAAGATCCCGTATCTGACCACTTCTGTGTGCATATATCAGTTCACCCGCTGCTGTGGAGCCAGGTAAATAGGTCGTTCGACACACACCCTGTCCAAGAGGATCCAGTATGGTCGCGAAAAGTTGTAACAGTGCTATAAGGGGTGAGATAATTGAACACCTGGTTAACACTGATCATTCCATTTCAACAAACGCCTCCTTCAAAGTAATCTACAGAGTCAAGAATAACCTATCAAAGGCAATACGGCTTCGTCTTCTTTGTATCGCTGAACCTCTGGCCATTCACACAGAAAAACCGGAGCCGTGCATATAAAAGAAGATTACTCAACCACTTCTACTGCCATGGTAACAACGTTTTTGATTTGATTTGAGTTTTTTATATTTTGATGACTTAATTTTGTTTCTTTGTCTATTCTTTAGTTGCTTATAATTTTTTTATTCATTTAGAACTCTTACGTAATTTCGTATTCTCTGCTTTGTTCCTGTATGCATCCTAAGTAAAACTCACTCATCAGACTATTCATATTATTACGTAACTTCTTTTAACAACTGTTTGTGACAACTCATCACCTTTGTTACTACCCTAATTTCATTAACACCCAATTTTCTTGACTCCCATTACCAATCTTCACCTGTTTAGTTAAAAGTAACCATAATCAATTGTAATTTTGTTTGACAAACTTAATGTACACATACATACAAAATAACACATATTTATTTGCGATAGTACAGCTAAGAAAATGAATTTGCGGAAAAGAGACTCTTCGCTGATCTACGTGTTTTGTTTTCACTATCAAAAGAACCAGATCATAGTGAAATTATAAATCCAGACCTTTAAATTATTCATCTAATGTCTCCAGAAGGAATTACTCGTTGAATACAAAGCCCACTCCATTTAGCAAGAGTATCTAATAAATAATAAATAATTTTTCCTTCACGTTCCCAGTGGAACATAGGGCTCCAAGCTAGTGGCTTGAAGTTTCTGTAGCAGTTTTTAATTTTTACAGGATGGGGTTGCTAGCCTCATGCCCAACCTTTCCTCTTTACCAGCATCATTTCTGGCTTGGTGAGGTAAAGGAGTGCGCCGGCCGGGGATCAAACCCCGGACCATATTCATGGTCGGCGAGCGTGCTAACCGCTATACCACCGACGCACTGAGTATCTGATTAGCTTTTATGCATATTACCGTCATCATATCACCTATGTAAGCTTTTGATCAGAGATAATTAGACAGTTTAATTATAGACTGAAATGCATTACATATATGGAGAGTAGGTATTAAGGAGTTAAATCATTGTGGAACACCTGTCATGAATGTCATATCCACTATAGATTATTTGAGTCACCTAAATCGTATACTTCTTTCCACTTAGACTGATATGTTGAGTAGTTGTATTATTTTTGGTTTTGTACCATCATTACAGTCCTTTTCTAACGCTTACTGTGTCTCGTGCACACATACATACACAATCACCTTATCATCCGAAAAATAACTGAAAACAATGGCCAAGGAGTTAGTAATATCATTCAGAAATACAAATAGTAGCAGTGGTATTACCCGCATTAGAAATAATTAACAAATTATCTGTTTACTTATGTAATATGATTCGAAATCACATAATTTTGTTTTCTTTCTGTAATGGTGAATGACGGTAAGGAATTTGCACTAGAGGAGACTAAAAGCAATTTTAAACATTAATCAATTTCATCATATTGCCACTTATTAGGATTTTTGGCTTTTGTAAGGATTCCGATTCATGTCAATACAGATTTGATGAGGAATCTACATCTAGATCGTACGAGGAGGAGATGACAGGTTATAGGCAGTCATTGACCTAGCCAGCTGAAGAGGACAGCATAAAGAAGAACAAAGTGTATTTGTGTCGTTGAAGCCCTATGTCCCATTCGAAACTGAAGGGAATAATAATATTCTTTCTTGTCTTGGGATCCGTCTTTCGTAATGACATCCACAAAACAAATGGTCTTCGTGTAACGGATTTAAATTAAATCCTTCCAAATACCAGACTGTTAACTTCAGTTTCCGATGTAAACAAAAGTTGAATGAAGCTGTTGATTCCTACGACCTTTTTAAAATTGATGAAACAGTTATAGAAATCAAGTCTGAAGTTAAGTATCTTGGATTTATTCTTTCTTCTGACCTATCCTGGTCTTCCCATGTCTTAGCGATTTCCAAATGAATATTTCGTCTGACTTTTTACATTAAGAAGTTGAGGCACTCAGACATAACCCAACCACTCCTCTTACAGTTTGCCAACTCTTGCATCTTACCTATTCTTCTTTACTGTTCACCCTTATTCTTTCCTGGATTGCTTAAAAAAAGACTATGTCATACTTCGTAAAACTCTGAAGACTGTCAGTAGGACGAGTGGTGCTCCAATGGGCCATATCGTTGACATTGTCACTGATAGGCACTTGATTTCATGCAAGAAATTTGCTAAAGTAATTTTACCAGACTGTGAGCATTCACTTTATCTGCAGCTCCAACACTGTGTCTCCTCAGGTAAAACAAGAAGTCTTTTCAGAAGAATTTATGCACGTACTTCTAAGTATACAAATTCCATTATACAATATTTGGTAGCACGTACTTTATGTGATGAAATTGGTGTCAGGCATGAACTGACTAACCTTCTTTGCACTACTAAATAAACCATTTCTTCCACCCTTACAGTACCAAAGTTTATTGTTATTGTATTTCTTATATTTATAATCCTCTCAATTTTTTGTTTTTATTTATTTATTTTTCATAAGTGTGAATATCGTTTAAGCTGTCTTACGATTGTTAATCTTGTATTTCCCCTCACTATACTACATCAACAGAACATTAGATTCAATACTCTATAGTAACATGCTAAAATTTTCAAACTGAATCGACAATACTGTTTGAAACAAACCCACTATTATTATTATTATATATAATGATCTGAATTCGTGCTTAAAATATTTTTGACTTTATATCGTCAACGTGGACAAATTCCTCTGGTTACTTTTGTTTTAATTTTTAATTTTATTTATATTTTAAGTGAAATCAGATGTAATATTGTGACAAATGCTGAGAATTCCATTCTGTACTATAAGTACTGTCTGTTTTGGGAATAAAGTAAATTACTATTATGGTGTTTATATCTCTTGCCTTGTTTTTCTTTTCTTTGTAGATACCAAGTCTTTATGCAAGTCCGAAATGATTTAATAAATGATCGAATGCAAGTTGATGAAAATTTGTTTGTAACATTATGCGGATTAATTTTACAGTGTAAGTTATTTCAACAGCTCACTTGATAATAATGATAATAATAATAAAAGCAACTTCATTTCGAACAAAATATTTATTTACACAATGTACAGAATTCTCACAGCAATTTATTACGCAATATCCTCTCTTCATCCTAGATATTCATTTAAAAATACCAGTCTATAGATTATCATGTGATGCAATATTGTTCGATTTGTAACACAAAATGTCCCTTAATGATTGAAATACACAACCGAATGGCTAACACAGTAAGAACTGGAGAAAATAAGATCCATTATGCTTAGTAGCAATTCTGGTAGCCCAATCTCCTAAACAGACAACCAGATTCATCCTGTGCTGCATACTTGAGGGAAAAAATGGAACTAGGAAATTCATTTAGAATGCATTTAGAATTCGCTACATAGGAGTGTCTATGGGATATCGTAACATCTCAAGCTTAAATTTAAGTTTAGTATAGATTACTTCAAAAATTATTTTAACTCAAAGGGCATAGTAACTGAATAAGAGATATGAATACAAAATAGTTAATAGTCTAACAGCTAGAGTTCATTCGTTCATAGTGGGATGTGACGTCATAAAAGATGGGGTGGGGGTGAAAAGAAGTGGTAAATAGAATAAAACTATTATGTAATCAAAAAGTATTAAACTAGAAGATTAGTCATGCGTTCAACTCAGTGATATGTAATAAAAAACAAACAAACAAAAACTGTGAGTCAGCAAAGACACAGAAACAAAGTAGAGACGTCTAGTTGCCAGGATAGTGAAACATGAGTCACAATGTCCTTTTTGAATACATAGATTAGTTTGTAATCTTACGACGGGGTTGACTTATGCACAGTGAAGTGGCCATATCAATTATTTTGAACTTTTGCATCATTTCGACTGGATGCCCCCTAGTCACTGTGCTACTTAGTGACTGCACCTGTTGCAAATATTTTGTTACCTTTGGTAGCATGATTTTTGGGGATATGCTTAGAAACTTAGAAATAATTTTGACTAATGAAAAGGTTGACTTCTTATCATTAATTCGTCAGTACAAAATAAAACTGCACAGCGGCTTTCTTTGAAAACCGTGAAATATGTAACCACAAAGCATGACCTCTATGATACCACAGCATGATGGTATATTATTATATTTTCATAGTTCCTTTTAGTTCTGAGTGGAACATAGGGCTTCGGCAGAACATCTCCATTTTATTCTGTTCTTTGAAGTCCATTTTAGCTGATAGCAAGACTGCCAATAATTTTTTATTTCTTCAAAGGATCTCCCCTGTATTATTCTTGGATGCCTAACTTGTCACTTCTCATTTGGGTTCCACTCGAGGTCATGGTGCCTGTCATCACTCAAAGGTCATCTCAGTGTGCGCCTAATCCATCCTTGACATATATGTTGGGTGATGGGTTCTTGATTGGTATATGCAACTGAATGATATGATCAGCATATATACCACTGTACAGAATACATAGTTTAAACAACCGATCTCCAAGGAGTGAATGCGGCTTCTTTTTATACCGCATGTACTACTTATTTCAACTTGAGCATATGAGTTATGTACCGTAATCCTGTAATCATACACCATAGTTTAAATCATTTTAAATACAAACGTTTACTTTCTTATTATTCAAAAAAGTACAACTCTGTGGAAAATTATTACATTACATTTTAGTCAATTATATTACATCATCTAACTTATTAACTCAAACTTACTTTAGTTGCTGCTAATTAACCTTGTTTCTATATTAAATCATTCTTGTATTACCTGATCAATTATCTAAACTTCACAAACCTCATGTATACATAAACGCTGACAATAATAGTTATGTATAAGTGCGATTGTATAGTTATGTGAATGAATTCACCGAAAAGTGTCTCTACGCTGAACGTCTTCTCTTTTTCATATGACTCAAAAGTATTACCGACAAGGCGAATTATTATGTAGCACAGAACTATCCAGTTGGCAAGAAATAATAAGTTGATTGAGATTTTTTGTCATTCTTTTACTCTGACAGTGGCATATTAGACTTCAAGTCTGAGTTTTTCAAGTTTCAATAGGAGTGGTGTTGTGTTCTTACGCAGTGGGTGCCTTAGTCCTACCTTCTTCATTCACCGGGCTTATTACCAGCTAAGAGAAGTTAGGCCAAGTGTATCGGTCTTGAACTCGGATCATATATGGTGTTGTTGGTGATCATTCTATCACAGGAACCCACAAGTACTGGTTCAGAACTCCATCTCCCTAGTACATATATTAACTTCTTGCGAGATCAGTCCGTTTATATTGTTTGTTTTGAGTGCAAACAACGCTGTATGAGAGGGACTGTTTTAGTCCTAGTGGTCTACGCAAATATTCATCAGAACTTATTAGGATATCCTACTGAAAAATTTCATACTGAGAAGTGATACCATTGACTGCCTTCATATAAACGTTGCTCATATTCTTTGTTAGAATCCAGTAAACAAATAACTCATTGATATTCAAGTATTAGTTTGTAGAGATTTGGTTGATTGGACACAGGATTTCATCATGAGCTGACGTTGGTTAGAGAACCATCGGAAAACCAGCTGGGAGTACTGGACAGCTGTTTTCTCCTAGTCTGGAACTGTTCAGCAGTATGCGCCCACCGGGATTCGAACCCAGAACCTTCTGGTTACAAGGCGAGCTAGCTCGTAGACTATTAAGTCACTGGGACCCGATCCAATGGCCCGTGAATTCTAACTTCTGCCGACTGACGATATAGCGCAACCGCTAGCCCATGTCTTCGGCGAGTATTTGTCCCCACACCTGGCTTGCTGCACCCTACTGGTCACGACTGCTCACTAGAACCTTAGGTAACCTACCTACTCATTGCTATATTTATTTGATATTTTTTCATTTTTTATCAAAAAACAACAACAGCTGATTGTGGTGATTATGGAGCTGATCGACTGGGACCAAATTATGTAAAACAACTATTAAAACTGCCTAATTTGGACGAACAATTAGAAAAGAAGATAAAGAGTAAACATGAAGAATGTCGGTAAGTTTTCGACATGTGTGTGTGCGTGCGTGTGTGTATATAAAATCTGTTATTACTTCACAAATATTTGTCTTCTCTTTGACTATATTTTGAAACTCACGGAATCCTTCTAAGTGAAAAAGGGAGTGAGACAAGGCTATCTACCATCTCCAGTGATTTTTCCGATTACAGTAGACTGGATAATGTGATAGGCAGCAGGCAGCGAGGAAACAGGCATAAAATGAACCCACACAAAGACTTGAGGATCTCGATTTCCCTAATGATATATGTCTGATTTCCCACAAAATGGAAGATATGCAAGTGAAAAGCAACAAGCTGGCAGAAGAAGCATCATCGACAGGCCTTTGGGTGAACATGGAGGAAACAAAGGTGATGAAAATTCCTGGCCAACAGCAGCAAAAACACACAAAAACTAGCATGAATGGGAGAAACTCGAAAGAAGCAACCTCCTTTGTCTAACGACCTGGGAAGCATCATTTCAATTAAAGACGGACGGAAGTGATGGGGATATGAAAGCAGGGATCGGGTAAGCAAGGCAAGCTTTCATTACCCTCAGGTATGTGTAGAGATCAACAGCATTCAGCATGCAAAATAAGATACGCATTTTCAACTCCAGTGTGAAGTGAATGCTACTATACAGATCAGAGACTTGGTGTGTCATGAAGGTCACTTCGAACAAACTACAGACCTTCATCAACAGCTGTCTTCGCTCAGTACTACTCAATATCAGATGGACAGCCAGAAAAGATCAGCAACAGGGGTCTCTGACAGTGAGCGAACCGAACCAGCCGGAAGTAGCTGTGCAACGAATATGCAGAAAGAAATGGAGGTGGATTGGCCATACTCTGAGAAGACAAACCGTCAAGTATCATCATACGCCAGGCCATTGCTCGAGTGGAACCCGATGGTTAAGTGGCTATTTGGTAATCAGTGTGAGGATGACATGGAGGAGGCGACACAAAGAGGAGATGAAAGCATTTTGGCAGATGTGGAGCCAGGTGAAAACGTTGGTGGTGAACCGAACCCAATGGAGACGTGTTTCTGAAGCCTGACTTCCCTCTAGGAACTAAGGGAGACAATAATACTTTGACAGCAAATTTCATTAGTGACTTAGTAACAAATTTATCATAATAAATCAATCTCTTAAATATCACTTCTACTATTTAAACTTGTCACCGTATTGTTTAGTCCGGATCAAGAGCCATCAGTGGCAGGCATCCATCAACACTTTACAACTCAACTGACCATTACCATCTGACATTGTAGACGGCACTACTATCACTTCCTTATTTAATTACTGGATAAAACTTCCTTCCTCCTTACTTGGTAGATCTCTTTGGTGATGAATTCTTTATGAGACTTATAGAAATCTTCTAAATACGTGGCTAGTAATGAGCAATTAGTTGATTTTCAGATGTTGTCTGCACACTTATGAGACCCCCGATGTTATATTAAACATACTAATGTTATTCAAGTTTAATCAAATATTATTATCATCAGTCAGAGAAGGACGGAAAAGCAGGGTGTGGTACTTGACATATGTCTTGTCCCTGTAAGAAACTCTTTATCAGTTTGTGCTCATGGGTCCATTATGGAACTAAATCCAGTGGCCAGCGCATGAATTCCACTTTTGTCGATCCACAATTTTCAGCCCCACAGTAAGTCCATGTTATCGGCGACTACATCCCACTTGGTGAGCCCAATCTGTCCCTTAATTAATTTCTAATTTTAAAAAAACTTTCCGCCTTCTTTTCATTGTAGTTGTCGTCAACCAGCTTTAGTAGAATATCAGTTATTGGATAAAGTTAAACAACTGCCAACCTATGGTCAGATAAAATTTCATATCAAAGTAAGCCGAATTATTATTATTATCATCATCAGTTTTGTCATTGCCACTACAGTGTACTGAAGGTATTTCGATCGTCAAATGTTTACACTAATTAGCTATCTACCCGGATGTTTTCATACTTCGTCTTGTCAGATGCAAATCTTAAGCATTGATGTATATGTATTTCGTTTCTAACCAGTAAATCTTTGAATAAAGAAAGAATGAACACATTTACTGGACAATACTGCGAGCTTGGTCTATGCTGTGGATCCTTTTTCTTCAGCTGCGTACATCCTAAGCAAAATCAAATTATAAGTTACAAAATGGTGTCTGAAATTAATTTTTTACAGTGATTTCAAGCTATAGATGGAGAGTGTAAGCAACATAATTCCAAAGATGACGTAAGCAGACAATTATTTAGTTTGAAAAGACAAATGGGTCGAGTACAGATTTGGCTTGGAAACCAGGATGAACTAGAAACAAAATACAAGTTAGAGAAACAGAGTGAATCTTTTACATATTATGTTGGAATCTAGGGGAAGAAAACGTTCTTTTCAATGCACCTTTAATCAGGGTGGGGTGTGAATAGTGAAGTAAAATTATAAAATAGACAAAATGATCTGTTAAAATAGATTTGGAAACCCAATAGTGAGTTCAACTCAGTGAGTGAAAATCAAAAGGAATGTTGCGTGACAGAACAAAACACAAAAGCACACAAACAAAATTACGGTTACTAGGATGGTAAGAGATTAGTCACTCTTTTTCTGTATGCATAGGTTGGCTCGAAGTCTTTTAATGGCAATGGCTCCTGCTTTTGTTTTTGTACTGATTATTTTGAAGGCCTGTATCTTCAGTGTCAATTAGGTGCCTGACAATTGCACTTGAAATCACTTTGCTGCCCTTCAAACGGAGACTTTTAGGGATATGCTCAGAAATCTAGTAGACGCTGTTCTCTCAGTCCTTCCTATACACTTGCTGCCTCAGGTGCAGGTGAATTGGTAAGTGCAGTTGGAGTTGACATGAGGAGCAGGATAGTTGTCTACTTTTGACCGGGTTAACGAGCATAATCTGTTGTAAAGTGGAATGAATCTAGGGGAAGAAAACGTTCTTTTCAATGCACCTTTAATTCCGTTGGCCGTTCTTATGGATACTTATTCATCTTTTTATGCTAGACAGATAAAAACTGGTTTCTTTTCAACTACTTCGGGTTTCGGTCTAGGTGGTTTTTCCATCCCATATTTTGATATGAAATTCTGAGGGTATCTATTTTCGATAAGGTTCTTCTCAATGACTGCGAGTTTCTCTTCGAGCTTATCTTTTGAATATAACTCCCTAGCTCTTCTGAAGAGCGTTTTCACTAGGCTCCATTTGTAGCTGATGTAGTCAAAGGTGTGATGATCCAAGTGGTGGCCAATCGAAGTTTGTTTCATGCAGTCGGAATTTTTAGTCGTCCCATCATATCTTCTTTTTGTGTTGAGATCTGGGAAGTGGAACTGATTATCACATTCATGATCCATTGTAAATCATATATGAGTATGAGCCGCATTGAGTTTACTGAGCATCGTCAAAGCGTAATCCATATGGTTGCAAATCATATACATATCGTCAGCATAGCGGCAAGAACAGGTGGCCCTCTCTACTTTCGGCGTCATTCGTTCCTTTTCAAGATGAGTCATGAAAATGTCCGCAAGAACAGGACCTAAAGGTGAACCCATAGCCACCCCATCAGTTTGCCTGAGCAGCTAGTCGTTGAATCGGAACCTGATGTTCTTTGTGCATCAATAGTAATTTTCGAAGCACATTTTCGGGAAGAGGAAGTAGTTCGGACTGTTCACATATGCTCCTCGCTGTCTCTTCGTTGGGTATGCTACTAAACAGCCAACAAACATCGTGTGACACGATAAGTTTGTCTGAAATGTTCATTTGGTCTAATTTTTTGAGAAATGGTAGGAAGAATCTTGTACTATCCTGCGGATATGTCCATTCTTTCTTCATTTAAACTAATAAACGGAACCGGGTGCATTAAAGTAATCGTTTCTTTGAAAAAAGAGAACAACAGGCTGGTCCGTCAGCTTTTGAATGACGATAAACTAAAATAATATGAAGTACCTAGCTATTCCCAACTAAACTTGACAGCGGTATGTCAAACCAAGTAGTCGTGGCGAGACCGTTGTATTGAAGCATAGAAGCTCATAAACCAATGCTGACCAGTGTATGACTATGGATTATTATCTTATAGCGATTATTTACTACCTCAATACACTTGTCAAATGATATACCCAGGTTGTGGATAAGATTTAAGTGGAAAAATTGTGTGTTCCAGTCTTGTCGTTACCGAGGTTTTCAAATCTCTGATCGTTGACTCATTAGGGCCAACATCAATCTACCGAAATAAACTTACGCTACCTTAAGTAGGAATAATGATAACAACAACTGATAAGACATTGACTAATGAAAATAATTATTCATTGGTGTACCTATCCTCCTTATAAACCTATTTCCCCAAGTTTGATCGGTAAAAGACCACTGAAAACCAGGGATTGCAGGACGGCTACTTCATCCTATTTTGGGTCTTTTCAACGGTATGCAATCACCAGAGTTTGAAGGTGTAATTCCTGGGTCAAGGGACTGGCGCAAGTGGATGGATGAATGGTCTACGAGCTTTGCTATGTAACCGGAGGGTTCTTGGTTTTAATCCCAATTGGCGCGTTCTGCTGAAGAGTATTTACGTACGACGTAACAGTAGTTTAGTAGACCCTGGCGGTTAGCAAAGGTTCTCTAAATGTGCGTTGGTGGCACAGTGGTTATGACTCTAGCCAATCATGCATATGGTCCGGGGTTCGATCCCCTGACGACGCACACTTGATATCTATGGTCGGCCTGCAAAATTTGGGCTACCGATATCACATGCTGAAAATTCCATACCTGTGCTGAAAATACAGTGTGGAATCAAGCTGTAATCAAAAATAAAAAAATACTTGATGAATCTTTGAACAAATCAAATTTCTCTATTCCAACTCTTTAAAATCTATTTTCTTTAAATTATTTAACTACTTATATACTGAAAAGTAGTTAGAGTTTTTAAGGAAGATATCTTTTGTCTTTTGCTAACACCATGAAATGTAGATATATGAGTACATTTAATAGTAATTCCCAAACTTAATTGTTTCCTTTTGATCGCATATGCTACCCAAGACTGAAATTAACTTTTATGTCTCGAAGAATTTTATTATAAGTTTATGAATTCAATGAACGGTTCTGTGAATAGGGATTTCAAGCTGATACTACATTTGACTACATTATCTATAGTTTCACTTAGAGAAACAAAGGTTTAGGTTATTCGGTTTTCAAATGAATTCATTGTATTATAATTTGGGTAGTTTTATGTTAAACCGATCGAATTCCGCTGGTAAAATGTCTAGATCACTGGAGGCTTGTATCATTGGGTTATCTGGATTTCTATTCATCACCTTTTGTCTAATTTTTGTTATTTTAACCATTCACTTATATCCTTGAATTACAAGATATACTCGCGCACATTTTTAAATGACTTTCAAACTATCAGTACGCATTTCTCAAAGATGAAAGAAAGATGCCATGATGAATTATTTTATGCTTAAAATCGAATAACATTGTATCACATGATAAACTGTAGATTGTTATTTTCACTTGAAAATCCGGGATGAAAATAAATCTCGGTATATTTCACTGAGAATTTTGGATATTGTGTAGGCATTTTACTAAGAATAAGGCTGCTACTAGCACCACTCCGTAACTGTATATCGGTTGCTAACTGAATGAATTTTATGTATACGCTACATGACAAAATGATCAGCATCATTCCATTGCATTCTGAATGGAACATAGGGTTTGAAGTTTGAGCTTCGAAGTTTCAGTGGCAGTTTGTTTTCAGGACTGAGGCTGTTAACCTCACTTCCAACCTTTCCTGTTAATTGGTTTTACTACTGGATAGGCGAGGTTTAGAAGTGCAGAAGATGATAATCGGACCCGGACCATTTGAGCAGTTAGACCAGTGATGCTGAAATGGTAGCTTATATTACATATTACCAATCTGCCATATTTTCTACTGGTTTACTATGCAGCATCTAAATCTACTTTTGTCACCTGCATGTCTTATGTGTTTTTATTGAAAACATTACTCTGTATTAGTTGCATATCATGGTTTTTCTTTTCTTTCTCTGGATATCTTCTAGGAGACTATATCAAATACTCCATGCTTATTGTGTTTAGGACCTACCGGTGTTATAATTGAAGATTCAGGAAAAAATCTTATCAAATTTTCATGGTCAGTTATATAGTTGGTAATATATTTTCTCTTGATACAACAAAATGATGTTTTTTGAGTTTATCAGTATTGTTATCATCACCGGTTTTATGAACAGACATTCATTGTTAATCTCATTTTATCATACAGTTAATTAATTTGTATTTATTTTGATATAGTTTGTTATACGATAATCGTAATTTATCTGACTGACCGACCGTGATTGCATTAACATAATAAGCGTTAAACTGTGCTAACTACTCAAAGGTGCCTGTGTTCTGTCCCCCGTGTTAAATTTTATAATAGGGTGAGCGATGTTGACGTTAGGCGTCGGGTGCTAGATAGGTGGGGGGGGGGTGAAATCAATCGACGAGGCTATGAAGTTACATCGATTGAGGGAGATGCTTGGGACATGTTTTACGCATGCCTTTCTAGCCATCGCCTTCTTCGACGGGCAGTGTTAGCTGGAGAAGAGCCACTGGTGGTCAAAACAAAACATGGCATCAGTCGATGAAAACCACAACAGTTTGTTTAATCCACGTAGACTTCCTGTTTGGGGTCCTCGGGACAGTAAAAACCAATAGCTGGAGATAATTGGTGATATGGTTTAAAATCGTTCTCAGTGGCTTGCGCAAAGTCATCCACTCCTTGTGACTTTAAATTTCCAGTAAAACTAAATTGTTCTTCGATATTACAATTCTTTTTGCCTCATATTTCTGTTTTGAATCTCTTTTTGCCCTCTTCTCCTGCTTTTTGTGCAACGTGTCAACTTGAACAGCTACACATCAGTGGAAAGTTCTACGTTGAAACCTTTCGGTCACATAGTCAAGGAGAAAGGCTCAATTACAAAATTTTAGTGTAATAGCTATGTTGTAGTCTGTCTGTTTTCGACATAGAACTTTGCACAAATGTGTGGAAGTTCAAGTCGCCACACTCCGTGTAGCACGCGAAGCAAGAGAAGAAAGTACAAGAAAAGCATAATAGAAACAGTGAGCAGAGGTGTGAGACAAAGGAGTAATAAAGAAAAACAAAACAGTTTCATTGGAGATCATAAGTCACAAGGAGTGGATGCATCTGCGCTAGCCACTGAGAACGATTTTGAGCCATGTCACCAATTGTTTCCAACCATAGATTTTTACCGTCCCGAGGACCCCAGCCTGGAAGTCTACACCTTTCTACGTGGCTTAGACCAACTGTTGTGGATTTTATTGACTGGTGCCAAGTTTTTGTTTGACCGCCGCTAGCTTTTTTCCAGCCTGACCCTATATCCGCTAACATTGCTCGTCGAGGAAGGCGATGGCTTGGCATACGTAACACATGTCCTAACCATCTCAGTCTTTGTAACTTCACGACTTCGTCGATTGATTTCCCCTGTTTACCTAGAACTCTACGCCTAACCTCAATGTTGCTCACCTTATTATGCCACTTTACACGGGAAATAGAGCGCAGGCACCTATGATCAAAGACAGCTAGTCTTCTCATGTCTTCCACTCTCAGTGGAAGGTAGAAATTTTTAGAAATTTTTATTGCTTATTACTGCTTAGCGTTATTTGAATAATTAGCCAAATCTTGTCTTAAAACTTATCTATTGCTCTCTGAATAAGAAGAAATTAGAAGTGTTTCGTAATTCAAAAGTGGTGAGAATTCGATAAATATCAATCTTTGTCGTATTTAGATCGCGTCAGTTAGGTGTAATGGCCAATCCCCACCCGCCCTAGTGAGCGATAATATGCCTAACACTAAGACTTCAACCTAGAACCCTCTTCGTGTCATGCTCTAAGGTAATTTCTACTAGGCCATTGATTAATTACAGTTAATTAAATCTTCATAAAGATTCTTGTCATGTTCCCCTTGACACTAAGCTTAAAGCTTATATAGACAGATATAAACACGCGCACGCAGAATTAAGGTTAGAAAAAAAATTTACTGCGTATGACCTTTTTCCCTTCTTCTTCCTTTTCAAATATATATATCATATCATATCACTCGTTTTAATTAGACACATCCAAATAGTATGTATGGATCAGTTTCTATTAAATTATTTTTGTATTCATAAATATCTGTGAGTTTACCCACCTGTATAAGTTCAAATTCAGGACAAATTTCCCTGTTTCCTCATTCATATGTGTATATATGTTTGTTACGGAATAATTTCTCTTTGTTAATCATGTCACTGCGTATGTCGTATGCTGTTCATTTAGAAAAAAAGAATGAAAATTTATATTAAAATTTACTATCTTAAAAAATAAAAAAAATGAAAAAGTGAACACGATTTGATGGAGTTCAACAGATTTAATCAAGAGATGTTTGATTTTTAAACAATTATTTAGTCATTTGACATGCGTCGGTGGCGCATAGGTAGAATAATGCTTGCTAGCCACTGAGTTGGTCCAGGGTTTTATCACCCGGCCGACGCACTCCTTTACCTCGCTTAATTGGCAGTAAGCCTGGGAAACAGGCAAGGTTAGGCGTGAGACTAACAATCTCACCCAATAAAAACAGACGCCACTGCTACCTAAACTTCAAAGCTCTAGCGTGAAGCCCTCTATGTTCCACTGGGAACGTAAAGGAATAGAAAAAGTCTTTTGACAAGTCGGTTAGCCAAGTATTTATTGATGGGATTTTTAGTAGCTATGCTTACAGATTACAAGTCTTGCTGTTGTTGTAGCGAAGTGATTGATACTCATTAGTGAATAATGTTTGTATAATTATTGTTATTCACTTTATGGTTTCTGAGTTCGCATCAGTCTTAGAGATCAAAAACAGTGCTAGTAGAATATCGAGTTTAAAAACTAACTGATCACATTATCCTACACGTCTTTCCTCCATGAAACTAAAGTTCACAGAACTTACAGGTGCAGTTTAGTTTTCACATTTGAAACGTGTAGGATGATACTGATAGACTTCACAACACTGACTTCTAGTTTAAAGATAAGTAGTGTAGTTGTTCAGCTTGCTGATCACTTCATAACCTGATAAACTAATTGCTAGCAAAATTCCACGTAGGATACAAAAGGCTCACCACAGGGTATTTGCTAGTTTGTGCCATCTCTATTCTAGATGTAACACCCGGCTATTGATCGAAGGTGTGCACTGTAAGACAGTGTCATTTGATTATATGTGTTTGTGTTTTATTTCCTCTGTTAAATGATCCTATACTAAAGTTAAGCGTAAAGTACTAAGTATTAGGAGGAAAATAGTGACTGATAGCAGTGTGCAGCTTCATCGATTCAAATCCCTAGAACACTTATTACATGTGTTGATCCCTTCACCATCATCGTTTGGAAATGTTAGCCAGAATTGGACAAGGCTGCAGAAGAGTTAGGGGTAGTCAAATAAAAAAACTGGCATCAACCCATGAAGTCTTTTACTGCTGGTTTGAGCCAGCCAAGTAGGAGGCGTAGACGTATTGGCTGGGATCCTCAAAACTCTAAGAACTATCTATAACATCGTTAGAAATCAGCTTTTGTTCACAAATAACCTGAAAATAAGGCTTTTCGAGTATAAATTTATTAAAAAACAGAAAGATTGAGCGAAGAAATATTTACTTTTTAATTAGATCCCCTTCTCTAGCTCTACTCTAATATACACGTATAGCATTTGTATTATAATACACAACAGTTTACCAATCATGTGGCACTGATATGTTTGTTAACAATAATTAGTCAGTGTCAGAATGTCAATGGGTTGATAATTAATGAAGAAAATTAATATATATATATATATATATATATATATATAATTAAAAGGTGCTACATATATTACAGTAAAGCCAGAGATGAGGATCTAATTGAAAAGTGAACATTTTCTCGCTCAATCTTTCTGTTTTCTAAATGTCTAAATGGGGATTTTTTCTATATAAATTTATTCATTTTCTTAGATTGGACACTAATCAACTGGTATCATATGTATCTAGTCCAACAAAAGCATGAAACCTCGGTCGAGGGCTTCCTGTCGGTTGCCTCTAACTATCTAATAATTTTTGATTGATTTTCTCGTTTGTTTGTTTTGTAACACATTAACGAACAATTCTACTGCTTTTTTAGGCCTCAGATCACTGGATTCGGGCATAAGCATAAACAAGTTCTGATCAAAATTCTAAATGAGGTAAATTACTGATAACTGTGTTGACTTATTACTATATACATACGTATATATGTATTCGTGTATTTCGAACGACCACCATTTAAAATGATTCGGTTAAATCAAATGAAAAACAATTTCTTGAAATCGTTTATTCGCCTAATCTCTACCGATAGATTGAAAAGGACTTCATGATGAATGGTCATGATGAATTTCTTCTACATAATACTAAAAAAAGTCATTCTGCCAATTTGTTCAGTAACTGGAGTGAACATCTTAATGTTGTCCTCCAGTAGGAACCAACAATAATAACAAAAAGCACCAATCGCTATCGACAGGGAGAAACCTAAAGGGATTCAGTCATCTGTTTTACGTAATTAGTCAGTATCACGTATGCAGCAACAGCAACCATCATCAATCACCATCAACGGGAGAGATTTGGCAGAGGTTACTTCCTTTACATATCCGACTAAAACGCATTACTTCACCTACAGCTGGCGGAGCGGATGGAGGTGTCAAAGCCAGTCAGAATCTCATAGCCAAGCTACGCCTTTTTCAACCTAAAACCAGTTTGGAAACCTTCTGCACTGACTCAGCATGAATAACAATGTTCGGGTTTTCAATACAAATGGGAGTTCAGTCAGTCAGTTCTTCTATACGAGTCAGAAACTTGCACTGCGTGTCATGGAAAGAATTTTCAACAGTCTCTTGCAGACTTTTATCAAAAGTTGTCTCCATACCAACGATGAAATGGCTGGGGGTCCAGAAAGAAATTAGCAACAAGAAACTCTGAGAGGTGGCGAACCAATCAAGAACAAATTGCTCGACAAATATGTAAGAGAAGACGGAGGTGGATTGAACATACGCTGAAGAGGCCGTTGAATGAAATTACAGGCAATGCAGACCATTGCTTTAGTGGAAGGCAGATGGGGAACGACGAGTGGGCAGTCAGCGCGAGGATGACATGGAAGAGATCGTGCTAGTTGGAGGAGATGAGAGACTATAAGCGATCGTTCACTTGTCTAAGGAGGAGAGGAGAAAATAGAAGAAAGTGATATGCTGTTGAAGCCCTATGTTCCACTTGAACACAAAATGAATAATAATTCTACGCAAAAAGAGATAGTAGTGAGTCTTACACTGCCCTGATGATGGCAAAGCATACAAATTTCACTACGTCATCTTTTGTCCTGTTTAGAAAGCTTAACTTTTTCGTTTAAAGATGACTCATCCTGCCCCCTTAAATTTTTTGTTTATTTCATAAAAACGTGTTTTACTGTGGTCACGTAACCTGTTGTTTTTTATACTCATTCTGGTTAAACTTTGTTTCTACCCATAAAACATCTGTTGAACTCTGTCCTTTTGTTTCCAAGCTGAGTCATGCAATTCCTCTGTAAATAGTCGATCTTTTTCACTCTTAATTATTTAACAATCTACATCATTTCTAACCAATGTTATTCTTGATATGAAAGTATGTTCAGGCCTTTAATTTATGATTTCGGTACTGTTCAGGTTGTAACCAGTTGAAAAGAATCTATGAAATCATCATACAAAATTAGCTCAGATAATCCTGGTACATTTTTCATTCTTGCTTTATTCGAATTTATTAATGCGAAGAATTGTTTGAAGTATCATTTTAGTCAGATGCGAACCAGGTGAAGATGTCAAAGGCAGAATGGTAAAAACAAGGTAAACCTTCATTGATCTGAAATTAAGGTGAAAGTCTGCTGCATTCAACATCAGGGACAAAGTTAAGATTCGCAACGCTATTGTGAAGTGTGTGCTTCCATCCCCTTTCACAGACTAGGTGCACGCGCGTCACCAAATCCGTTTCCAGAAGGCTTCGGATATTTAACAGTGGCTACCTTTGCTTCTCACTGGACAATAGATGGCCGGTCATTAAGGAAAAGCAACATAGAACTCTGTTGACGAACTAACCACGAACCTATTGCCTAACCAAAAAAATATACCGATGGAGATGATTGGACACACGTTGAGAAGACTGCTGAGAAACATCACGATCAGTGTCATCGAGTGGAAAACTATGCGTTGGGCGTAGGTCCTAGTATGAGGTAAAGAAGACACTGTGAGGAGTAGGTGAGAGATTATTTTTAACAGTGGGGCCAGTTAAAGAAGACAGAAGAGAACACAGTCAGTCGAAAACGTGCCACCGAATGCTTGTGTTCCTGTTGGAGCCTAAAAGGAGTAATAATAATAATAAGTTGAAGGAGAAGTCTATTGTCCGGCTGTCTGTTGAACTAAAATAAGCGATCTTATTCAGTGACGACAAAATGGATATCACTTTTTTTAACTGGACTTTAACACTTTCGATTGGATTGCAGGTGATATTATCATTATTTTTATATAACAATTATGCAACGCTTTCAGCCAAACAGGTTTTCTAGAAATGTCTAAAAGTAATCGATAAGTATTGTGAATAAAAATGTCAAAAACTTTATAGAGGAAATCATTTAACGATGTATCTTCAGTTAATACAATACAATGGGTGCCTCAGAGAAGTTCTACGCTTGGGAAACACTATTATCATAGGCTAGATAGAGCATTCGCTTTACTTTGTGAGCCTTATTCAGAGCGACTAATAAAGAGAAACCACTTAGAACGTAATCAAAGCAAATTTTCCCCTGACGACTTTATATAATGTGTGTCAGCAGGCACCGAGCATTTTGTTTCAGCGTAAGCAGTCAACGGCAAATGAATAAAGCTTATTAATAATAAATATAAAGTACCCAGCCGGTGTCAGAGGCTCCTATCATCTATTTGGTATTTTACAGAGCTTTGTGTATGTAGTATTTGATCATAAAAAACTGTATTGCCAACTAGGTGTGTTGACGTTGTCAGCAGTCATTTTTTAAAATAAAAATACTTGATACTTGTAAAAGTTCTCTTCTTCCCTTCTCTTTGCCTCTTTTTACTTCCCTCTAGGGTACAAGATTCACATACTGTTGTTCTGTTGATAATTCAATGTCATGTGAAAATCTTTTAGAGATTTGTAAAAATTATTTAAATTTTTATCGGTAAGTTGAGAAACAAACAAACAGCAAATACTTGATAATTTATTGTCATTCTTGCAAAATTATGGTTGTGTAAATCTTAGCGATGTTTGAATGAATACTTCCAACATTTCGTTCAACAAAGTCGTTCTAAGACTTTCAAGGAAATGGTTAAAATAATGTTTCCAAGTGATATATATATGTACCTAACGAGGCACATCTTGTCTTCGAATTTCTTGTCCATTCATATCCGAGGGATGAGTAGTCATCGAAGCAAAATATATATATATCACGAATTGGCAGAAGTTTGAGTTTGCGGAATACTGAGTTGGGTCCCAGTGTTTGAATAGTCTACGAGCTCGCCTTGCAACCGAGACGTCCTAGGTTCAAACCCCGGTTGGTACGTACTGTTGAAGAGCCTCGAACCAGGATGAAACACCTATCCAGTTCTTCCAGGTTTCCTGATGGTTTCCTAACCGATGTAAGCTCGTAATCATTCTTGTAAAACAGAATTGTAGGATTACAAGCGGAAATTTCTAAAAATCTATTATCATCCTACTTTTTGACTAGCTGCAGATACCGCATGTACTTTTTATATCAGTCTTTAATGATGTTTGAATAAAGGCGTTGAGAGTCTGGTACTTAGTAAAGGAATCTGCATTACAAAATATGTGTATAATATACACTGATGAATTTGGCTGAGAAATTGCATATCATCTCCCAACATATTCTGAATCTATATATTGGGATTTATTTCGTGTGGATTGAACTGACTAGGCTCTCTGAGTTGAGTCGAACTGGGAACATCACTGGTTAGATCGGTTCCAAATGGGTTGATATGAGTGGTATAAAACTATTCATCTTACTCAGTCAGTAGTAGGTAGTTTTGTGCATTTATCCTTGGTTTCTTAATAAGTGTTTCTGCTATTGAGCAGATCACGTATATATTTTGGCCTGAACAATTCCGAATGCAACTTTGTTGAAATAATCACCTCGAAATTACTCACTAATATGCAAACTGCGAATCCGACTTCTGAAATTTACTGGAATACAAAGTTGTTTACATATATACAGCTTTCACTTGGTGTCCAAAGTTTGTTTGTGGACTTATTTGATCAAATCTTCTTCAGAGTTCGTATACATTTATTCTAACTGTTCGTCTTTTTTAAAATGAGTTAGAATAATCATTCACTGCTGAAAAAATGTATATGTCTTTATGATAATTTTAATACTAACTTATTTTTATCTGACAGTTAATGGCTGCTAACAGTGAAAATCGGGATGCACATTTCGTCTTATTTCAAAACTGTGGATTTTCGTTCTTTTCTACTTGATATCTGGAAATCATTTCATGAAGGAGACACAATTATTGGCTATAATTACTTTTTCCTTCAATTAAGAGTGAAATTTATAGTGAAATACAGGCTTTCAAGCTTGAGTAGTGTTAGAGTTGTTTCTTTTTGGATGAGGTAGCTAACCTCACACGCACGTTCCCATGTGTGCACCACCCGGGAAACGAACCCTGAAGTATGTGCGTGGTTAAATAAATTATGTATCATTCATAAACAAAACTTATTCAGTATGAATAGAATAATATTTTAACATATCTGTCTAGTAAAAAATGATATTATGTGTATACAATATGCAGTTCACTAGTAGTCTTTGCCTCTATAACGTAAATGCCATACCGGTTTGAAAACAATTTGGTAATTTCGACAGAGAAAGAAAGACTAGATTTGCAGTATAATATGATATCATTCTATTTCACAGGTTCTCATCAGCCGCAAACTACCTGGAATTACAATGGTTATAAACAATAACATTTCATACTTCAATATTTGAAAGGCAATAAAGAAAGCATTATAGGATGAACGCATCCGGAATATAAATATTACAATTTTTAGTTTAAGTTACCATCAACTTATGTACTATCAAACTATGAAAAAATTACTTATTACTATTACTTTATTATGTATTACTTTCATTACACTGATTAGTCATACATACTGGTGAGCTCAGTTCACTAAGCCAGTTTTCATTTTGATGAACTTTAACCTTCTTGAGTTGCCATGTTGACGTACAACCTAACACTGTCTGATGCGTTTCGGATTCTGAGGACGATTGTTACTTCCCGGCTGCCCACACCTTGGAAGTTGGTCGCGTGACCGCAGAGCCCAGGGGACAACTGCTTGAAGCCGGTCACACGCGGCCTGTTTTTGTTCGTTCTTTTTTGTTTGGTGTGTCTCAGTAGCATACTTATCACTCCTGCCCTGTGACATGGCAGCAGGAAGCGGGGTCGTTGTTAATCCGGGCCACGGCCGATCCGGCATGAAATTTTGTGATTTTGTATTTATCATGATGTTGGATTGGGTAGCTGCTTTTTGTTTAACCGATATCCAAACAACCTGCCTGGCATGGTAGGACCTCAAGGGACATAAGTCTCAGCCAGTATAGCTTGAATAGATCATTGCGGTGTTCAAGCCCGACCACCACGTCAAGGTAGCAGCTTTCGGTCGGGAACACTGTCTGTTAGATTTGTCTGTTTTCTCTCACCCTTTTTTTTCATAGTTTGATAGTATATAAATTGATGGTAACTTAAACTAAAAATTGTAATACTTATATTCCAGATGAGTTCATCTTATAGTGTTTTCTTTATTAGCTTACAAACATTGAAGTATGAAATGTCATTATTCATAATTATTCTGGTTTCAGGTAGTTTGCAGTTGGTGAGAACCTGTGAAATAGAATGATATTATATTATACTGCAAATCTAGTCTTTCTTTCTCTATCGAAATATATCAGTGGAACCAAATATATGAAATTTCGTAATTCTATTTAGTGGATGAAAGTAATAGATCAAAAAAGTGATTCAGCGAACAGACTGTTTTCAATGAATTTATTATGAAGCTGTACAATCGTATATATATGGTTTTTTAAGAAATTATATCCGATGAGGGAACTGAACCATAGGGGTGAATGCATAAAATAATAATAGTAGTATGAAATACATTTAAAATATTAGTAATTATGATCACATTTAAATTTCAAGTAGCAAAACAATTAGTACCATATATAGAATAATACATAAGGTGTATAGATTTTGGAAAGTGGTGTATAATTATAGGATTAGTAAGCTAATATAAAACGTTACACAACATTGTGGGAAATTTGATTAGATAGCATTCAACGTTGCGAAAAAATCTTTTCTGATTTAGAATGACAACTGAGACAAGTGGAAACAATTCAGCGTGAGAGTAATAATAATGATAATAATAATCGTAGTAATGAAGGAAAGGTACATAGATTAATTAAATAAACAAAATAAATAAATGTCTATCCATCTACAGACAAGGCAGAAGTAGGTTTTGTACATGCTTCTTTTGTACATAAAGGTCTGGCTTAAATTTTCAAATGGCCAAGGCCTCCGCTGTCTTCAGAAGTCGATTACGAAGAAAAGGCAGCAAGTTAGCGTGGATTCGGTAGATGATCTAAAAATTATGGTCAGGATTGGTAGAGTGACAGAAGTCAATCAAGGTGTTCTAGAGAAGAGCTTTGCGCATTCTTCCTTTCTCCCTTGTAAAACTATGCTGAAATATGTTCTCGTATCCATGTGAAAAGCGTTCTCTGGCTACGGCCAATTCACCTTGCTCCACAAGAGCAGGTGAACTGATAGATGAACATGGAGACGGTCAGACGGCCAAGGAGCTTATCTCTCACAGAGAAGGAGCCAACAACTTACGGCTTGTGAAGGTCATTTGCAACAAAGGACTTCATACTGACTGATTGAGAGAGACAGAGACAGTTTGCCAGCATATCTGAAGCTCGCTCACCTTTGAATTCCGAGCTCATAAATGAAGTTTACTTTGGAACTGAACCGGTGACCAGTTTGGACTGCTTATATTTTGTGTTTCTGTCATTTAAATCAGTACAGGTAACCGTTTTTTGGATAAGCAACACTTAATAGTGGGCTAAACTGTATTATCCCAAGAATATGTTTAAAGTAAAGCGTTACAACTACTGAACATTCCGCTTCATACTCTTACCCCCATATGTACATATGTATATATGTCACGAAATTCTCCTAACTGAATTCTTTATTCATGTTGTTATCTCTAGAATTATTCTATTCATATTCTTATCTTTTATTGTTTACACAGACATTTATTATCATTTAACATTTATGTTGACTTCATTTCATCTATTTATAGGGCATTACATTGACGTAGACTATTATTACTATTGTCATGATGTCAGAATTAACAATAATGCGAATAATTATAGTAACAATAATAATCATTTAAACAAAGGCTTCAGTTTTGACCATAAGTTGATAATAATAATAATAATAATAAGGGAATCATTGCAAACGGGAGAGTATTGGACAGATGTTTAATCCCAGTTTGGGACTTTCGAACAGTAGCCATTCATGACCCTTCAGAGGTCGAACCTAGAACTTTCAGGTTTTCAATGGTTCTGTAGCTGATATCATTTCATGATCTAACTTAATATTAGTCAAGTAGCTGAGTGACAGCACTTAGAAATAGTGCATTAGTCTGTTGGTTTCTGACCTTTTCCCTATTACAGATGCATCGACTATTTCTATGAGAACAAACTCCATTATATTATTATTACGTTTGCTTCACCATATGGCTATTGAATGAAGTTTATATATATATATTTGCTGCAATCTGTAGCATTGAAGTAGTTACCAAATTTTTTCACAATCATCACTGTCGGAGGTCTTTACAAAGTCGATGAAATTGAGTTGAAATGCAAAATTCAATGTAATTTTTCGAAAAAACACTATCCTTTAGATTATTTCATATGATGTTATTTCATACTGAAATATTATTATTATTCCTTTGGGTTCTGAGTGCAACATAGGGCTTCTTTAGCACGTCTCCACTTTTTCGAGATCCGCCTGCAGTCTTCTTTAGCTAGCCTCACGATTATCTTAAAGCCCTCATCTTTTTCTTACATGTTCTCCTCTGTGTCACCCTAAGACACACGCCCATCTAGTTGTCTCTTACTGGAGTCCTACTCAAGAGCGTGGCGCACGATGTAAGTTGGCCTTTTCAGCGTGTGTCCATCTCCATTTTCTTCGGAATATCTGCTGAGCCACAGGTTCTTGACTGACTCATTACCAAAGTTTCCCGCTGGTAATTCTTTAAAGCATATCGGTCTTCAATGTGAGACTGAGGCAACTGCTGATAAACGTTTTTAGTGACCAGCTGGAAATGCTTTCTGTGACGGACCAAGTTAATGACTCATCTTAATGTAATTAAGATAAATAAGCATATTTAAATCTATTTGTAGTAGTAGTAGTAGTCTTACTCTGGCCGCTGACCTTTGCACTGCAGCAGTTCACCTGTGTAAGACATAACTGATAACCTTATTTTTTTTCTTAGCTGATTATGTTACTATTTTAAATAAGTATATGCTTTATCGTTCCTGTTGTCATTATTACTATTACTGTTATTTAGAAATGAAATATCTCAGAGAATAATTAATGAACCACAGCAGCTAATGGCGAATACAACATCAGCTCAGCCTTCAAGTACTTCTGTTCAACCGATATTTTATCGTAAAACTTCACTGAGTAAGTACTACTGAATGTAATAATATATCTTTTTATGACAAATTCATATATATATATAATGATATGCATTCGTTCGTGGAGTTTTGACACGTGTCCATTACACTCTGTTCTATTCTCTGTCGTCGTTTTCACCTGACTTCAAGGTTGTCAACATGCTTTCCTTTTCTTTCTGATATTATCCCTACCATATTACCCTCGGGTAGCCAGTCTGTTGTTTCCCACTTGGATTCAACTCAAATGATTGGCGGGTAATGCCACTTCAATATTTCCTCAAAGAAGTTTCAATCTGACTCCATTTCCCTCGGTATATTTGTTAGGCAGAGTTTCTTGTTGCTTATTCTTTCTGACCGACCATCTGATCTTTAGCATCTAGAAAAGCATCTATTGATAAACGTGGGGAGCAGTCTGCTGGAATTACTTTCTGGGAGACACTTACCAAATATCAGTCATCTTAACCACCTCATTCCTATCAATTTTCTTTATTGAGTTCTCAGTGGAACATAGGGGTTCAAGCTACAGGCGTGAAGTTTCGGCGGCAGTGGTGTTTACTTTTTATGGGATGGGGTTGCTAGCCTCACGCCCAAACTTCCCTCTTTATCAGTCTTATTACTGGCTTAGTAAGGTAAAGGACTACGTCGGCCAAGGATCGGACCTCAGTTGACACGCGTGGTTGGCGAGCATCCTACCTCTGTGACACCGACGCACATTCCTCTCAATGTTCATGCGATATCCGGTCTTCGATGTATTCCTTTTAACCTGTTGGCTTTTACTTGCAAATCTTTGGCCTTATGTGGTAAAAGACATAAATTATCCACGATATCCAGATTTTTCATCTTTTTTTTTCATTTTTAAGTTTAAGTATGACTTGGTGGGAGGAGAGAGACGTAAACACTTGACACTTGATTTTCTGTCATTTTACTCTCCAGAGTTAAAGGTTATTCACTATTTAACCTGATTTTGACACACACACACACATGCAAACACTTAACTTGTGGCTCATAGTCTCAGTCAGACAGCCTGTTTTGGAAGAATGAAGAAACTTGTGAATTTATTAGATTTTGTAACTAACAATGGAACCAGCGACTTGTCAGGATGGTTAGCCTACCAGTTGAATAACAATTACGATTATAATAGTACTTTTTCTCTGTTGTAATTAATGATTATCACTTCTAATCATGATACTCATGGAACTTATTATATTTTCAATTTGTTCTCCTATTTCACTTTCTTTCAGTCACAACAAGTGGAACGGCTTATAATGCAAATGAGTAAGTCATTGTTAACAATTAGATTTTTTTTAAGTACAAATTTTAGGGTGATTCATTCAACCTCTCAACTTTGTAGTGTATAAAATTTTCAACTAAATTATACATCCAGTGTTAAAATAAGAGGACAATAGTCTTCTTTATTTAACTGCTGGGAGCCACACCTTGGAAGACACTGATACTAGATGATGTACTGACTGAAAATGTGCTGATCACGTTTTAATTTCACACCATCTTTTGTTTGAGCTTTTTTGGCAGCTTTTATATGAATGGCTGATAAAAGTGACTGCCACTCACTTCAGCATCATAAAGCTTTATGATCCGTCAAGTCTTCTGGTTATAGAAGGAACCAAGGATCACTTGTCACTGACGCTATTATGTGGGATGGTTTCAATTCAGCAAATAGTTTCTGTGTAATAGGGTTGGATCAAATTTAAAGTAAAACGAGGCAAAAAAAAATAAGCTGCATCCTAGATATAGGCAGGAATTTTTCCGAAAGGTAATTAATTATTCAGCAATCAGTACCAGTCAGTCAGCAACAACAACAGACAACAATCAGCATAAATAGGATAAATCTGAAAGAAGCAACCTCCTTTACCTACCTACCTGGGAAGCATCGTTTCAACCACAAGCGATAGAACTGACGAGGATATCAAAGCCATGATCGGGAAAGCAAGGCAGGCTTTCATTACTCACAAGTCTGTGTGGAGGTCAACAGCACTACTCAGCATGGAAAATGAGATGCGGATTTTCAACTCCAAGGTGAAGTCAGTGCTACTTGCTATACGGATCAGAGACTTGGCTCGTTACGAATGGCACTCCGAACAAACTACAGACCTTCATCAACAGCCGTCTTTGTTCAATACTAATTAAGATCAGATGGACATCCAGAAAAGATTAACAACAGGAATCCCTGACAATGAGCGAATCAATCCAGAAGGATGCAGCTGTGCATCAAATATGCGGAAAGAAATGGAGGTAGATTAGCCATACTCCGAGAAAACAAACCATCAAGTGACATCCCGCGGCAGGCCATCACTGGATTGCAACCTGAATGGGAAGCGGCCAGTTGGTCATTGATGTAAGGGTGACACAGAGGAGGTCATGCGAAGAGGAGATGAAGGCATGTGGGCAGATGGGGAGCCAGTTGAAAAGGTTTAAGGTGAACCGAAAGTAATGGAGACGTGCGGCTGAAGTCTTATATATCTCTAGGAACTACAGTAGTGACTACACTGCCACAGTTTAATAACTCCATGTCACTACAATAGATACCAAGTATTATACATCCCATCTGTCACTACCTTTTTACAATTGCTGTTGACTTGACTTTAATTCTAGCTGATCCCTACTCAACCCTGTCAATTACATTACGTCAGTGACTTTGCTTAATTAATTTTAATTTTAGTTTCTAACCCATTAACACTTTCTAAATTGCGTAACTTGTCACATAAAATTTACAATTCTGATGACAAATGTTTGGAAATACTCATTTTGTTGCCAAGACAATTTACTATATATTTAAATATAGATATATGTGCGACTGTACAGCTTGAGAATTATATCGCCGTAAAGAGTAGCTCTTCGCTGAGCGCCTTTTCTTGTACATGACCCGCTGAGAATTTCTAATTTTCTGAATATTTTTTGGGCAGTAGGTCGTTGACTTGTTCATTGCCGAAATTTCTTGGTATTTATTCTTTCTGGCCGGTGATCTGGTCTTCATTAAACGGGCAATGATGGCATCTGTTGATTAAAGTCCACAGTCTAGTAGTTCAAACTGCTTTGAATAATACATGATATTGGAACACTTTAGACTGTGAAAGGAAATAGGTGAATATTTTAGATCGTCAGTACCTTGTGTGTAATTGCTTCACGTTTCATTGAGACTTACACGGATAAAACTGTTAGTAATTTGTACAAGTTAACTAATAGTATGGTAATACGATAAATGAGGTAAACCAAATTCACAATTTGAAAATTAGTTAACACTTTGTAGTGTTCACACTTTCACAGATGAAATTTTCACTACAGTTTTCTTTTGAAAGCAAATTATTCGGATCAAAATATCAGCGTGACCTGCTTGATACCAAGAGAGCAAGCGTAAACGGTTGAGATTAACACCTCTGTGCCATTTATATCAACCAAGAGTGTTAGCCAACCAGATCGAGGTGATTTAAACACGAAACAGCGGTTTAGGCTGTTTGGAGCAGAGATTATCCGCCCACCATCATCTCTGTAAGCTGAGTGAAACCCAGTGCTCCTTCAATGAACTCTTCCTTAAACGAATGAAATGGCCCTCTCGTGTTTACAACACCTCGTTTCGGCTAACTAGCAGTACTAATTGAAATCAGTGTTGTACAAGCGGTCATCTCAGTCAATCAGTAGTATGTTTAGTTTTATATAAAAAGTTATATGCTCGTACCACTAAGTACAGAAATCCTACAATACCCTATTTAGCCCGTACTTTATGTGATGAAGACTCTGTTAGACGTGAAACACATAATTTACTATGTAATTAGCACAGTAAATCGACCCTTTCATATTTCATCTTTCTGTATTTTATGGTGTCACACTTTCTGTCGTTTAATTATTACTCTGCTATTTTATTTTAGTTGGCATTACTAGTATTACTACAATTTTATACTTTATGCATATTTTTCACCGTATTGCATACAGTATTTTGCTATGTAGCTGCTGTAACAATCTCTTTATTATTATTATGTAATGTGTATTTATAATTTTTTGTTGTTGTCATTTTTGAATAAATTAGATGCAATATTGTACTGAATGCTGAAAATTCCTTGCTGTATCATTAGTACTGTTTTTGGAATAAAGCTATTATTATTGTTATTATTATTATTATTAAAATGGCCAAAAAGAGAATTATTCAACTAATAGTTAGCAGTATGATGTCATATATATATTGTAGAAGGATGACGGGGATGTATTCAGCTGTTTTGATTCGGCAAAAACGTAAGGATGATCGCCTTAAGCATTTTGTTTTTGCTTCTGAAGACATTAGGATTTGTCCCCATTTACTTAATATCCAGACTATAACCAATATGATGAAGGTAGACATCGCTTATCACATGAGAAGAAAAATAATCAATATTTTCTCCTCTCCAACACACTTGACATCTGTTCTCATTTATTTTCTTTTATTTTCTACTTTTTGATTATTTTATGATGGATTGTGTTTTATGTGTTTTACATCCCTTTTTACCTTGGTTAATCGAATGTATGTGTTGTGTGTGTGTGTGAATAAGTTCAGTAACTCGGTATTTTATGGCTACCTATTTGTATATATATGTATGTGCATATTCTATTTATACATGTTTTTCAATACAACAAGGGAATTCATACGAATACACATATGCATGTATATTGACATTCTGTAACTAGTAGATGGAATTATACATACTTCCCTCCTTCATTTTTCTTCTTTTATTCTCTTGTGTATTACATATATATGTATATATCTATATTTATTAGAAAATTTCACTTTTTCTCTTAGCCAGTAGTTCTTCTCTTGAGAAAACGCTGAAATTCATATGGATTTTCTGAATAATCATAATAACCTACCGATAAAATTGTAATAGAAATACTCTTTAATTATGAGTATGTCTTTCTTTATAGTCTCAGGTTCACTCAAATTATACACATGTATGAGCAGATCCTTCTAGGCAATATAACGTCAGTAATACCATTTAAGAATCCGATGATGGAAGAGCTCTACAGTATATCAAGATGTACTCGATAGTTATTTCATTTCTTCTTTTCTCAGTCAGTGAAGTTCACATATATGACGTTGTAGGGATCGATCTCAGGGGCAGTATAACATGAAGTAGTCAGAATTCACTTAGTTGCTTTACAGTATATGCTTAATTATTGCTAAACATTATGATCAAAAGAGAATAAGCAGATATCTTTGATATACAGTTTTTTCTTCAGTTGCCCTGAGTTCTGATTGGAAAAAAGATTTTCAGCCACTAAGTTCTGAAGTTTCACTGCCAGTGAAGTATTAGTTGGCAGCCTCACGTACAAACTTCCTTGTTTTAATCGGACTAGTAAACTGGGAATGTGTTGGCCAGGAGTCGAACATGGACCTACTACATGGCTGGTGATTTATTTATTCAATTCAAGCCTCGGTGGGAACATCGTCACTCACTGGGGAATGCAGGTACAACCAGATGACGAGCTCCAAATGGGACGAAATGTGTGTTATTCTGGATTCCAGCGCTAGTCACTCACCGTCAACCAATTGACTTCAAGTGACGTGAGGAGACATCGTAGAAGCATTTGAACATGTAGTCCACATGTCAACCTGAGACTGAGCATTTCGGTCCAAACAATCGACGGGAAAATAGTGAAATATGTCTTATTTGGAAAACTTTAGACTGTTTGTTTTATGTACGTTTCGAAAAGTAAGTAAATAAGTGGGCTGTGGTGATTTTCTGGAATTGCCAGTATTATGTTATGTCTGTTTACAGCAGGTTTTTATGTGGGCCTATAAAACGACTGATCACCTATTCAATAAATACCCCGTTACCTCTATTCTAACGTCTAAAATCACTTCAAGAAGAAGATACTTGTTTTTGCACTGTATTTACATGATCGCACAAACAAAAATCTGTAATACTAAAATTTGTATGCAACAATGTTATCAGCCTACTTATATGCTTTACTACTTCTAGGCCTAATCTTCTACCTGATGCAAAATGTCCAGTGTATGCAACAACAGATTCTACCCAACCAGCATCGAATGAATTTGAGTCGAAAATCAATGTCAAGGTTAATCGGTAGGTTGATGTTTGGCGTCATTAATTTAACTGACTGGTTACATTTTCAGTAGGTTGATTTGCCCCTGAATCAAAATAATAATCCCATATTGTCCCAAATATTTAGGTTATAATATAATACCAATAATAATAACAGCTTGTAGAGGACAAAAGGACTGAGCAAAGAGATTGATTAGTTATTTTCCCACACTTGTTGCGTCATCCCAACATCTAATCCTCCTTTTTATATAAGAAGTAACTGGCTTCACATTTGTTTTGAGGTTCTGAATTTTGTTGATTATCCTGCTAAGTGGAGGAGATTCCCAATGTGATCTCAAATTGGTGAAGGTTTGATTTGCCTTTCCGATTCTGCTTTTGACATCTTCATGCGTTCCGCCTGTGGTTGAAACGATGCTTCCTAGATGAGTGAAGGAAGTAACCTCTGTTGAATTTCTCCCATGGATGATTGTCTTCTTCGCCTCCATCTTCTCAGTCCTTTCTTCTCTTCCGCCTTCTTCTGCCAGTTTGTCTGTTTTAGCTTTCAAATCTTCTAATTTGTGTGACGTTTAACATAAATCGTCCACTCGTGAAATCCAGATTTACTAGAGTATTCTTATCGGCCCAACGAACTCCTGTCTTCTCACTCCCCACATTTTCCTGAGGAAACTGAAATTATTCAAAATAGACAATCTGATTGATACGATAGATTTCTATAAAGCAAATAAGCATAAATACATGATGCTGTATACTACTGACTGACTGATGTGAATAGCTGGACACCACACATATCGTCCGGTAGTTCTTGCTAGCCTGATCGAAGTGGTTTAAATACCAGGATATGACTTAACTTACTAGCAGTTCTCCCAAGTAGCTACCCACAATTCGTACACTGGGTGAACTAGTTCGGCTTCCTGAACTGAATCAAACCGGGTACACCTCTGATGAACCACGTACAAAACCAGTAAAACTGCCATCCGGAGTTTTGATCATTCCAATCTGATTGTCTAGGAGACACTACTGGTTAATTTTAGGGGTATATATAGCTACTCGTATCAGTCAGTCAATTAGTAGAAACAGAGAGAAATTAATTTTTGAACAGAGAATCTACTAAACTGATTAAATATTCATGGTACTTTGATTTTCAGTCGAAATTATCATTTCTTTGCCAAATGTAGGTATGGCTGTGATGTTAACATATGTATGTATGTGTGTGTGTGTGAGTGTGTATGGTTTTGTACTAAATGCTATTTCACTGATTTGTATGAATGAAAGTTTTCAAATACAGAAATAAATATTTATATGAAAAATAACTATCCCCTTTATTCCCCCTCCTCATCCTATCCTAAATAGTTGTAATCACATAATTTAACTGAGTAAGTCAATTTTAGGAATCAGCAGTTTATTTATATTATGTGAATAAAGCCGGATTTAGTGAATTCATCAAATTTCGGTATAACACCTCAACTGTCTACGCTACATACAGTGATTTGTATATACTTTTCGAAATACCTTGGGAGATACATGATTGATCAGTAAATACACTACAACGAATTAGTCTTCTTAAATGACAGAGGCGAATGTTTTACAGGTAAAGTATAGATAGATAAGGGGGAAAGCCTATGAGAGACTAAAAATTTAAAGTGGTAACAGATTACGGTTCAGTTGTATCACTTAAATGAACAATCAGTCATCACAAAGAGAAAAGGAAATTGAATAATAATAATAATAATGAGACGAGTTAAGATAATGGTAGTGACAAAAGTTGACTCAAGAATAATTATGGATTTAAACAAAGGACAAATAAGAATTTTTACAGAATAATCTGGTATCACCATTTATTTCGTTGGCTTCTCCTAAGCTGCTTACAATAGAGAAGATTTGTAGCTCAGGTGGATGATTTGCAATTAGTTGTGTTCTCTGAGCTGGTTGGTTTGATTGTGGAGCATACTTTGGAATTTTAAACAGAGGAAATACCAAAAGTGTCAGAGGATTCCTAGAAACCTGGTACTCAAGAGAATATGCGATTGAAAAAAATGTTAATATAGACCAAATCTACTAACTAATAGAAAGTGAATTATGTGACGAGAAGGTTTAAAATCCAGGTCAATAAAAATGATCAGTACAGATGTAAATCGATTATCAGTCGTGAAGATAGTTACCAGGAGTTACTCAGTCCTATCATTCATGGAGAACTTAAACCAGTTCATTTTATGCTCAAACTTGCGCTAAAGATGTTGTTCAGAAGGACGACGAAAGCTTCGCAATTAAACCAACCAACTCCGAAAGCACAGCTAATTGTAAGCTGCTTACAGCCTAAATAAGAAGTACAGAGAAGTTTTAACATACTTGCAAATTTTATGTGGTATCAGGAAGGTTCAAACTTAGTGAACGGTGCTCAGAAAATTACGGTCATATAGTTTTCGCACAGGTAGTTCAATTTTAAACAAAGTAAATGTGTACGTACATTGGTAAAAGAGTTAAGTAATGAAGACGAGAAGTGCGTGAAATGATCAGTGACTAATAGATTGGGTGTCAAAGTACTGAGTTCAACTGAAATCATCGAAACAAGAGACTATAGACTATTACACTATATCAAAGAGAGGTGAGATTAAAGCTAAGAATCGGGCAATCAAACGATCAGTTATAATAATAATTATAAGAGATGGGATAAAATAGTAACAATAACAGTTAATAGGTAGAAGATAATCCCATGTCAGCTCCATATTGACCACCGGGTTTATAAATTCTAATTATACAAGCCTGTGTGAGTACGAGCATCTTTGTGCTTTGTTAATCATATGATAACAGTGAATGACTTGATAGCGTCAGTATCTTTATGTTCTAAAATACTTTGTTACTGAATTGTTGTGGTGCCTTGACTTCAGTTCTTTCAACCACTCCACCATGTTTATCCTAATGTTAACTTTTTAATCCCTGGTATCCCTTCCATAGTTATTTATTTCAACTTAGCTTGTTAAAGATTCGTACTTATCAGTTCGCATAATTGAATCACTGTAGTTTATTTGTCAGTCTCATCATCTATGATATTCCCAACTGTGGTTAACTAGACAGGCACACGCTAATCTGACGAAAAGACATTGGCAGATTTTGAATTAGCAGATGATTTATACAAGACGTCACATAGACTGGGATATCTACAGGCGAAAACCAACAAGTCGCCAGAAGAACCACTGAAGTCAAGAAGTGGAGAAGGCAGGTGATACAGTTGCTTAACCAACAACTGCGAAAACAAGCACAAATCACTATCAACGCTGGCAATTTTAAGAAATCTACTGCTTTTGCCTATTCAGGCAGCATCGTTTCAACTACAAGTGGGACTGATGCAGATGTCAAATCCAGGCAGGATCGAAAGAGCAAGTTTGGCGTCCATCATTCTGAAATAGGTGTTGAAGTGCGCTGCACTGGACATAAGCAAAAAAAGATTCGGATTCTGCGTAAATGATTCAAAGTTTTGGCGTGTGCATCATGGAAAGAATTTCAAACAGGCTACTTCAGACTTTTGGTATTTCAAAACTTAATATTAAATGGACTGCTGGAGAGCGTTAACAACAAGAAACTGTTGAAATTAACCAACAAAGAACCAGCTAGCACGAAACCTAGGTACAAGGCTTCCTGCCGATTGCCTCCAACCATCTAATACCATCAAATCCGAGTGCACCGTGATGGCGAGCTAGCTATAATGGCGGTCACATTACAACCTGACTGATAGAATTTAGTCTACACCAATCAGAGGACCAGACGCATCACACTAGTTACTAGTGTCAAATCAAAAGAACCTATGCGCCAACAAATATGCAGAACTAAGTGGCTTTGGATTGAACATACGCGTCGGAGAACTTTGTGTGACAATCCGCGCCAGAAACAGCTAGGAGTTAAACCTGACTAGAAAACAGCTAATTGAAAGTTCTGGGGTGATGTGGAGAAGATCGTGTCTGGAGGAAAGGAAAATTTATAGGCAGTCATGGAGCCAGCTGTAATGGACTGAGGAAATGAGGAGGGAATAGATGTGGGCTGCTGAAGGCCTATATATCCCAAAATGTCTTTCTGGTGGCATATATATATATATATATATATATATATATATATATATATATATATATACGTATGTAGCCTAGCTGAGGGGCAGAGGAGTTCAAAGGAAATTTGATGAATTCATTAAATCCTGCTTTACTAATATCTGTTGATGGTTTTAAATTCATATCAGGAAATGTCTCCCATTTATATTTGGATTTATTTATATATTTATATTTTAACGTTGCTTTTGTTATCTTTTTTGAAAGATTTTTTCCAGTTTTTCATGTGTTTACATCCATCATTATTTACAGTGATATGTAGCATCAGTATTTTTATAATTGATTTTTTTATCTTTCCTCCTGACTCTCGGCACAACAGAAATCTCCAACCGTTATATTCTAGTCTAATTGAATTTACTCCTGGCTATGCTCCTCCTCCTCCTCCAGTACAGTATCCCATGTGTTCATCAACAGTCTGTTCGAGTCAATATCCACATTCCCAACCACGTTATCATCATCCACATGCTCACTGTTTCGATGCAAGAAGTGGCTATCCCGCGGGTATGGCTCCTGCTTCTGCTAACGATGATGAACATGATGTTGACGGTAATATCAATGGAGATAATGTCAACAAGTGCTATTATCATCATTATTATTGTCATCCCCATTATGATAACAATCATTTACAGAACACTATGATACCAATGAATCCATATCATGTAAATGGGACAGGTATGGTATTTCATCGTCCAAGAGGATGCAAAACTGTTACAGATATTGGTGACCACCCTCATGTGTAAGTGATTCATATTATAATCCATTTGATTTTCTTTTTTCACAGAGTCTATATTAATGGTGTTCAGTGTTACTGAACACTTATTATTTCTCGATTGACTGATTGACTTGATCGCAAACTTGGTTCAATTTGGTCACCAAGAGATGAGCCACAAAACAGTTTTCAGTTGCTTATCTTCCTTTCATTTGTGTTGGAATTCATATGCTACCCAGATATCCATAATGAAGCCAGCATTTATCTGAAGATACTGCTCACAGAAACCTTTGACTTGATTTACCATCCGCAAGGCAGTAAAGCAGTTTCATGGGATGCTTTCCTATGGCTGCCTGTAACCTAAACCAGTTTTGTATGCTGCTCGATTCTATAGGATTCTGGGGCCTGTTCTGCATCACAGATTTGAAATTAGGGTTTTTCATACCACCCCTCAATCGGATCTCTTCTCTGAAGATGATTCCTGGATATGTCCACTTGCCCTTTTACTTTTTTAATGACATTTCTTGCTTAATGAAGGTACTGAATCTGAGTTACCTGTTAGAAGATATGAACGCTGCACCAGAAAATGTATGGTAATGGTGTAATTTATGTCATCAAGCATTAAAAGCAACACTTTTGTCACATTCTGTGGATATTTATATTGGTTATTGTAATAATCTGAATATCAATCACTTGTTCACTGGTGGCTACTGGATGTATTTCCTAATTCTGTGGTGGGAAGTAGTTACCAGGGCGTCCCGCCAAGTCAGGTTTCGCTGGATAGCTAATCAAAGGCATTTGTTTGGGCAGCACTGTATCGCAAAGTGACAAAGCAAAAGTTCAGGCGTCACTAGGTTCCAGCTCAAGCAGCTGAGCGGCCAACAAGCTCGGTCGCGTAACTTGATGGCTCCGGGTTCTACCCCTTCTGGTGGATTCGCTGGTGACCACTGATAAAAAGTCTCCAAATAGGACGAAACAGCTTTCGGACATTGAAATGACACGACACACACTTCCCTTCCTTCCTTCTTTTCCCATTTCTTCGTTATATAAATGGATATCAGTTGGTCTTCATTTGTATTAAACGTGTAATGCAAATCATTTGTAAAAATCAGTTTCTTCATCTGAACGCTATTCTCGTGCATTTGTATAAACTTCATCCATACATTTATCTATTTTTGCATTGTGTTAACAGATACTCGAATCGTCGATCACATTATCTGCAGACAAGTTATGCAAGTGGACGTTGGATTGTTAACGACAATGTTAGTAATGCTAGTCAGTGTAGATTAAGACATCGTCGAAAATCTTTTCCAAAAACTAAACATTATTACATTGATGAAGATATTGACGGGAATTACTATATGACGAAAGTTCCACCATCCTATCATGATGATGATAATGATACTTGTGGTGGTGGTGGTGGTGATTGTCGTGATGCTGATGGAGACAGTGATAATGATAATAATAATGATGATGATGATGGTGACGAAGATGCCGATGATTGTAATGTTAATTTCCGTCGTCATCATCATCAACATCATCATCTGCGTACATCTCGTTCGAAATCTGCGTCTATCTACGGTCAACAAGAATTTTATCAAGCTAATCACTGTCCACCTTGTTCATTATCATCATCATGCAGACAAAGACAAAACCGTCATCCAGTCATACCTGAATTTCATCATTATCGTCGTCAGCATAGAATTCTACCACGTCCAGTTAGTCGATTGGATCGATATCCAGAGTTATCCTCATCAATAAAGGATGAGAACAATAAAAGCAATAGTGAAGAAACAATTGAATATTATGATGGTAATAATAATAATAAACATAATAGTAATAATCACGATAGATTACATTGTCATTTTAATGAATCAATGAATTATGAAATACCTCGTTTAATAAAACAGAATAAGTTAAATGGTGTAAAGAAATGTGAAGTTCTTCAAGTATGCTCTGCTAGTAGACAGTCACCAAATGAAAATTATTCTCAGTGTAATTCTCCAAGAGATAATCGCTTCACCTCATCTAGGTAACGAAAGTTTGTTTTTCTTGTTTGTTTTTGTGTTTTTTGTTAAAATACTTAAGAGAAAATCGACAGAATCGTATGTTGACAGATTGTGTCTGGTTGGCATTGGGGGTTGTCTGTCCCTGCACATGAAGCTTCTGTTGTTTCTAGAGAATTAAACTTGCCTCTGGCGTTTGCAGAATTCGGTATCCAAAGGCCTTTGTTAATTTTTTTTGGATAGTTGACAGATGCTAGAAAAAGACTCTTTAATGCTATTTTTATGTTCTGTTTGGATGAGGTGATCTAATATAGGACTGTTGGTGGTATTTACTATACCTCTATTTGGCCAAACTGGTTGGGAAGTGTTCCTCAGAATGAAAAACTATGTTCCTAGAGCAGGTGCCAATATAATTGACTCCCCAGGAGCAGTTGAATTGGTAGAGACAAGAAGAGAAGGCTAGCCTAGATACTTTGTCTTTCATTTACAGAATCATAAACGGTTGCATGGATAATATAAGATGCATCCTACCTGTGTTTAAGCTTCTTTAAGTTCATTTTCTCAACTTTTCGGTTATTATTTCACTTGGTATGTCACCTTTGAATTGTAGTCATATATACGGAGGCTTATTGCTAACAGATACAGAGGAATTTTTTTCTAAAATTTGTTGGCCATGTGTTTATTGATGAGTTTTTCAGGGTAGCTATTTTCAGTTAAAGTGCGGTATGCAAAATTAGGCTGGTCTTTAATTGCATCTTCTGAACATGCAGCTGTGACCCGTGTAGCTGAGTGCTTTTTACCGAATTTCTCACACACACAAGACAGAGACAAAGCCATGAAGACAGTATTGGAGATTATGCTCCCATCATCTTTTAGGTGCTTACTAAAATTACCGAACGCCTCTAGTTAACAAATACTCCAAACATCAGAGATCACTGCAATTCGTTAAAAGCAACTGAGGCTCTGTGTGTAGAAGTAACCGATACAACCGCCTTGACCTACTGTAGAAACTATAAGTTCATTAATTCCGTATTAATTCCCTTAATTTTTCTGCAGTTTAATTTAGTATTTAATATACTGAAACATGTTATCATTTATAGGTACTTTAGATATCTAATCTACCGCTTCATATTCATTCAGTGTTACTTTAAACAGTTATGTTGTTAACATCAATAATTCTCAAATTACTATGGTTACATAATAATAGAAGCTGACTCATTTATCGGAAAGAAAATTCTTTGCTTGCTAAAATTGGGCATCTTTAACCAGTTAGAGTCGTTTGTTTCATCTAGACAATGGGAGTATTTAGATGGTTGGAGGCGATCTACAGGAACGTTTGAACTTAATTTTCTCCTGAATTCAATTTGTTCTGGAGGGCGGAATTCCGCATGGAGTGCACCTTTTATTCTTTCCAGAATGAAGCGAATCAGTATTTTATTTGGTGTAGATAAGAGTATTATTTCATGCCAGTCAGTTCTGGCACAGGCCTAAGTTGCCCCTTTTTGACAGCTTGACGAGGTAGCCTTTCTTCCAGTCAGTAGACACCTTCCATTCCTTCCAAACCTTTTGTAATTATGGCGTAAGAACATCTTTCACAGTCTCTGAGTCCGATTTTAGTGCTTCGGGTTGGGGGAATTCCGTTCGATCCTGGTGCCTTTGCGAAATTCATTAACTTGATTGCATTCAGGATTTCCACTTTTGTTGGAGAATTGGTGTACACTGTCAGTTCTGTGAGTGCTACTGTTGGTATTTCTGAGCGACTTACAGGTGATGGTCGATTCAAGAGTTCTTTGAAGTGATCATCCCTTGAATATCTTTCATAGGTTTCACCTTCGATGGAATCCGATCATATGCTGTTATCTGAATAATTTTTGTTTCTTAAGGGGACTCTGTAGTAATTTCACATGGAACTATGTAAACTGAAATTCGCGAATTCAGTGCGCAGATTGTGAATTTAATCCAATACATCACCAGTATACGGCATCATACATTAGGTATACAAAAGCTTTTTACCACATATATGTACCGCATTTATGTATATTTACACTGATGAAGTGCTTACTATGTTATTTTATCCTTTTATTTCCATCGTTTATAGAAGACAAACTAATGGGAACAGTTCAAACATCTGTTCGCCTCGTTCGTCTACCTCAATGACAAATAGATCAAACACACATTCTACAAATTCAAATGAATTAAGAAAAACTTCCCTGAGAAAGAATCATCCGTCTACTATATCTTATTGGCATAAGGAGAAAGCCAACCGCAATACTGACACTGATGATGATGTTTTTGTTGACGATAACGGTCAGTGCAAGTTACTGCGTGTACAACATCCTCCGGTGTGTAACACTAATATCAGCCAAAATAATAATGCATATAATGATGAAAGCGACAGAGAAGAAGGTGATCAAGAAAATAAAGTCAGTGCTAATATCGATTCACATGTTGGAGATTTGAATAAAAGAGGATTGCTTCACAGAAATTTATTCGCGTCAACAAATGCTACAGATTATTCCTTCTCATCATCAGTAGTCTTTTGTCCAGAAGGAGAAGAAGATGATGATGAGAGTCAAACACCGAGTTTATTGAAAAATTCTGAAAATAATTCAGAGTTATACACTGAAGAAGTATTCGAGACATCTTTCACTGACTTTAAACTACCACCAACACCTAATTCACCCGGTGATAACAATAATACGAAGAAGAAATATAACAATGACACTCATAATCAAAATCAAATAATAAATGAACATGTTGAAGAGGTGAATTCTGATGTAAGTTAGAGAGACAATTAAACGAAAGAAAGATTTAATTAAATGAATATATTCAAATGTTGGTGTTCAGGGATTTGATTTGATTGCTTACAGGATTTCATCATGAACTGACACCGGTTAGAGGACCATTAGAAAACCTAGAAGTACTGCTCAGTTGTTCCTTCATAGTTTAAGACTCTTCATCAGTATGCACTCACCACCCATGTTTCGAACCCAGGATCTTCCGCTTACAAGGCTAGCGAGCTTGTAGACCACTAAGTCACTGGGACCCGATCCGATGGCCAGTCCATGAATTCTTTAATTCTGCCAGTTCACGATATGATGTGACCTCTAAAGATTGTCATAGGTAGTGAGTATTTGTTCTCACACCCGACCTGCTGTACCTCACTGGTCACGACTTCCTACTAGGACGCAGGTATATAACCACCCGAATAGATCCAGGAACTAGTAAGCACCTGATTGATATTCAAGTGTTGGTTTGCAGAGATTTCATTTGTTTCACGATTTCCGTAGTGGTCGCACAATATCGTGAATAAGCAGAAGTTGGAATTCATGGTCTGGCCATTGGATTGAGTCCCGGTGGCGTAATAGTCTGCGCCTTATAACCACAAGGACCTGGATTCTAACCTCAGTAGGTGTGTACTGATGGAGTGTCCCAAACAAGGATGAAACAACTGGCTCTTCAGTAATTCTAGGGCTTTATGATGGTCCTCTAACCACAAGTCAGTTCATGATGAAAGCATAATATACACATATGTTAATAATTTTCGAAAAATTATTTTGAAGTGTTATTTGGTTTTTGCTACCCGTAGTGTGGTAAATAAATTTAAAAATGTATTGTCCAGAAAATTTATCCGGAGCCAAGGTGTACACTAATTAAAGCTCTTCATGACCTCGTGCTAATGAAACAGCATCACTCGACCAATAATGGATCTCTCCTCAGTTGCTTTTATGTTCTTGTTTTTTTTCAATTTCTCCTATTACTTGATTAATTACACTGTCACAAAATTATTTGGAATTAAATAAAACTATATACTACTGACTGCTGAATACTGTTCCCATTAACCAACAGTGCTTATTATCCAGCCAGACTGAAGTGATGTAAACTCTGGGCTACCGTTTAGCTTGTTAAGGGCTGACCATATCATCAGTGTACATGGCTTAATTCAACTCACAGAGCCGAACCACTTCAAGCCTCTAGTTTTAGATCACTTCTGAGCTGACACAAGGTCAGGTTCGAAAAGCGCTAGTGGTGGTCAGACCAAAACGAGGCATCACCCAGTGAAATCCACAAAAGTTGCATTAAGCCACGTAGGAAGGTGTAGACTTACTGGTTGGGATCTTCAGGTTGGTAGGAACCAATGACTGGAGACAATCGGTGATATGGCTGAAAACCAATTTCAATGACTAGTGTGGATAAATCCACTCCTTGTGACTTATAATACCCAACAAAACTATATTGTTCTTCGATATTACTATTCTTTTTGCCTCATATCTCTGTTTACTGTCTCTATTTTGCATTTTCTTTTTTCTTACTTTCTTCTCTTGTTTTGTGTGGAACACAGAGTGTGGCGACTTGAACTGCTGCACATCGGTGCAAAGTTCTTTGTTGAAACTAGTCAATCTTCTTGCAAGCACTACTAGATGATGTGATTAGTGTACTTGTCTCAACCAATCAGCGGCATATAGTTTTATGCAAATATGCTTTGTTTCTCCATTACCATTTATGGTATAAAGCAGATCATATATTGTGGTGATCTAAATCATCGCGATTTCCAAAGGATACTGTGGTGATACAATTACCTCGAACGGTGTAAACCAGGAACTCTATCTATTTTGAATTACCTGTTGACTGTTTTGACTGATGCCAAATTCCACAGCCACTTCACGAGGATTAGCTGGTGTAGGGATAGCTTTGAGTAATAGGGCAGAAAAGACATTGCTTGACTGGATCCCGGTAGATAGCCGAATGTGTGCTGTCCGTCTGAACGGATCAGTAAGAAGGAGAAAGGACTGCACTACTCGCCGATGCCTTTTCGTAATCTCCGCCTACGCCCCCACTGACTGCAGTTCGGATGAAACGAAGGATGAGTTCTACCAAAAGCTGTCTAGTTTGGTGCGAAAGGCTAAACGCTCAGATATAGTCGTTCTAGCTGGTGACTTTAACGCTCAAGTAGGGAAATTGTGTCAATCTGAGAAGGATGTCGGTGGCACCTATGGAGTTCCGTGCCAGCGAACCGACAACGGTGACCGTCTCCTACAGTTCTGTTCAGATAATCATTTGTTTCTTGTAAGCACTAACTTTAAACACAAGGAGAGACACTGTTTAACCTGGCGACCCCCATCATCAAACCAACGCTGGACACAAATAGACCACATAGCAATAAGCTATCGTTGGCGTGGGTCGGTAGGAGATTGTCGCTCCTTCTGGAACACGTGTGTAGATACCGATCACGCACTGGTCCGGCTCGTGTGTGCTTACGACTGAACGGACGTAGGAAACAGCTGGCGGTAAAACCATCACGTCCCCAGCTCGATCAGGAAACTAAATCCCTATTTGAGGAAGAACTAGCTAAACACATATCTGTGTTCGACAGCTGTGCTCACCCTGAAGAAGCCTGGAAGAATATTCAGTCAGTCATAGATACAGCTGTAAAAGCTGTGAATAAGGCAAATCCAAAGGTGAGTAAAAACCACTGGATTTCGACTGCCTCATCCGAACTGATAGATGCTAGAAGACTTATTCCGGCGAGCTCCGAATTCAATGAGGAGCGAAAGCTGCACAAAAGGAAACTTACGAAAAGTCTCCGCAAGGACCGTGAACAGTGGTGGGTGACAAAGGCAAAAGAGATGGAAAAAGCATCGGCGATAGGCAACACTAGGCAACTCTTTAGACTCATCAGAAACGGGTGGGAGAAGGCAAATCATAAGTGAGACTATTTCTGAGAAAAATGGCTCCTTAATTAGCTCTCAGGATAGACGCCTTGAACGCTGGAAAGAACACTTTGAGGACAATTTAACTTGCCTACAGCCACACTGAACCTCCCCGACATCCAGTACACACCCGAATGGGATATAGACACTGGTCCGCCGTCTGTAATGAGGTCACAAAAGCTATCAGTAATTTGAAACGAGGCAAAGCGGCAGGACCCGACGGAATTATTCCGGAGGTGTTTAAATATGGGGGTGACATACTAGTTTGTAGATTAACTGAGGTACTAGGCAAAGTCTGGGAATCAGAGACAGTGCCATCAGACTGGGGTAAGTCACTTATTATACCGATATTCAAGAAGGGAAACAAGTCCTCGTGTGATAATCATAGGGGGATCAGCCTAACGAACATAGTCTCTAAAATCCTAGGCTCAGTAATCATGCATAGACTAAGCAGAACTCGGGAGGAACAGACAAGGGAAAATCAAGCAGGCTTTAGACCAGGTAGAGGGTGCATAGATCATATCTTCACTCTTCGACAGATTCTAGAACATAGACACACTTTTCGGCGTCCAACAATTGTCATATTTCTTGACTTGAAGGCGGCCTTCGACTCCGTGGATCGAAAGGTACTATGGCAATGTCTGACTGTGAAGGGAGTGCCAAGAAAGTACATTGCACTAATCAAGGCACTCTATTCAAACTCACGTAGTCGTGTAAGGGCTTATGGGGAATTGTCATCTGAATTGGTAACAACCAGTGGTGTCCGACAGGGATGTCCACTTTCCCCATTTCTGTTTAACTTCATCATAGATATGCTGATGGAAGTATCCTTAACTGAACGTAACGACTTAGGAATCGACTTGTTACCAGGGAATAGTCTTATGGACTTAGAATATGCAGATGACATAGTCCTGTTAGGGGAGGATGCTGACAAAATGCAGAGTCTTCTGAACACCTTGAGCAGCAATCTTCGTATGTTTGGCATGCGATTCGCCCCTACAAAATGTAAGATGCTGCTACAGGACTGGACCACGTCAACTCATAACTTAGTGATAGGGAGTGAAGTGATAGAACATGTTGACCACTTCACCTATTTGGGAAGTTGTATTAGCACCAACGGACTGATTGGCGATGAAATCTCAGCACGGATCCGAAAAGCTCGAGCTGCTTTCGCTGACTTACACCATCTCTGGCGTAGGCGTGACATCCGGTTATCAACCAAGGGACGTGTGTACTGCTCATCAGTTCGCTCCGTCCTTCTCTATGGCTCTGAAACATGGCCAATACGCGTTGAAGACATGAAAAGGTTGACTGCTTTCGATCATAGATGTCTGCGATCTCTGTCTCACGTTAGGTGGTTTAATAAGGTAAGTAATGTTGACGTTAGGCGTAGAGTGTTGGGCAAAGAGGGAAAATCAATCGACGAGGCTATAAAGTTACATAGACTAAGATGGCTAGGTCACGTGGTGCGCATGCCTAACCACCGCCTCCCCCGACGGGCATTGCTAGCTGATATAGATGCAGGTTGGAAAAGAGCCAGTGGTGGCCAAACAAAAACATGGCATCAATCCATGAAATCCTTGACAGTTAAACTGAGTCAGGTAGGGAGATGCAGACTCCGGGTTGGGGCCCTCGGGACTCTAGGAATCAATGGCTGGAGACAATAGGTGACATGGCTCAAAATCGTTGTCAATGGCCAGCGAAGATGTATTCAGTCTCTGTAATCTTTCATATTCCTTTCTACCATTACCCATTCTGTTTCACTCTTATACTTGTCAGACTGTATTGATTCTCTTCACTCATCTTCTTGCCTACCTTTGTGTGCTATTTGGAACGTGGCAACTCGAACTGGTGCACTTCGGTGCCAAGTTCTATGTTGAATCCAGACAGACAGAGAGATGCCAAATTAGGTTGACATCTGTTGATGTGTCATCTCCAAGTATGGATAATTTAGTAGTATACTGATGTTAACGTGGGACTACTCGGCTGGCTTTTGGTGATTGGGTAGCAGTGGAATTGAGGCGCATTAAGAAAAACATTCCATGAATACGATGCAAGTACATTCA